CTGCAAGAGGCCAGCTACTACAGCGCTGAGCACGGCTACCTGGATGTCACCATGGAGCTACGGGCTATGGGTACCTATCAGACATCAAACAAGAATTTGACATTTCTAATTGTGACTTGCCATAATAACCCAACTTTTTTTTTTCTACTTCTAAACTAGGCGTACCATGGAAACTACACGTGTGGCTGGAATCTCTGCGCTGTGCCCAGCAGCAGTCCAGGGCGGGAGTCACCCTCTCACTCCTCAGAGAGTTCACCACGATCAGAGAAGAGGACTACTGTGAGGAGCTGGTCACCATGGGCCTGCCTCTCATGTTCAACATCTTACGTACCACCAAGGTAAACACAAACCTCAGTGTGTGCTTGCCTGCCTCTTCATGTTAAGAGCATGAAATGAGTCGAAATGTGTGATATAACGTCCTCCTCCCTGTTCTCTCACTTGCCTCCAGAATGATGCCATTATACAGCAGTTGGCGGCTATTTTTAGTCACTGTTTTGGCCCAGCACCTCTTCCAGCCATCCCTGGGATGAGGGCAACTCTTTCAGCACAGTTAGGTAAGGAAATTATGATTCTCATGTGTGTATGAGCACACATAGCTCTGTGTTTAGGTGATTGTGATGGCTTTATGTTGACATTTTTAGATCATTTTTTTGTGTTTTTGTGTTGATTAATCTGCTGACTGCTTTCTTGACTAATCAGTTAATAGTGTGGTTAGAAAATATCATAAAACAGTGAAAAATCCCCACTGTCACAATTTTCTAAAGGCCCTGAATTGCTTATTTTCTCTGAAAAGTGCTCAAAAACCCAAAGATAGTCAGTTTACTGTCTCATATGACAAATACAAGCAGCAATTTCTCACAATAGAGAAGCTGTAATGAGGCAATATTTGACATTTTGCTTAAAATCTACGTAAAGTACTGATCGATTATCCAAATAGTTGCAGAATAATTTCCATTGACTACTACTAATCAATTGTTTTTTAGCTCTAGATGGTTGTACAATTAATACTGAGAGGAGGTTGTATTTGTCCACAAGGCCCCAGATACAACAATCAGCCAAAAATGGAAAAAAAAAAGAGGTTTTGTTTTTGCCAAAATGCAATGAGGATGCTTCGGGCTCTCAGTACCTGCACACTTGGAGCTTGAACACCTGTGACCACATATTGAGTTTTCTACAAACTGACTGCATTCAAGGATCACCTAGTCTATTCAATCACTTGTGGGTGTGGCATTACATATCTTTCACAGATATGGGTACAGCTGATGCCAAATTTTGAAGGTTTTAAAGTCTGTATGTGAGGCAAGGTATCAAACAGCCAAGGCAATCCTCTCCTCTGGCTGTATGAACAAATGCAAACTGATATTTTTCTATTTAGCAAATAGGAGTAAAATAAGTGTTCCAGTGCTACAGTAGCATATGAATGAAAAGGTAAAATCTTATCACAAATGCCAGGTGTAAGGATCAAGACACTATCATGATTCGCCCGCATACAAGACACTGTCTGAACAAAACTCTAGCTTCCTTAAGATGTGCAGCTATAATGTAGGACCAGTGTCCAGACTGGCTTGTGAAAGCTGTGCTGTGAGTGGAGTTTTAAGCAGCCGCTGATATGTTTCCCCACAGACCCTCATTTCCTGAACAACCAGGAGATGTCAGATGTAACATTTTTGGTGGAGGGGAAACCGTTCTACGGTCACAGAGTCCTGCTGATCACAGCCTCTGACAGGTGAGCGCAGTCAGGTTCACACTGGATAGAAAAATACCGACTTAAGGACATTTTAGGGAAAAAAATCCTTAAAGTTGTAACAAAGAAATATTTGTTTTCTGTTAGATTCAAGTCTCTGCTGGCATCCTCCGGACCAGATGGAAGCCCCAACAAGGAGATCGAGATCAGTGACGTCAAGTACAACATTTTCCAGGTAACAAATATTCTCTTTATTTCCTTTATTGTTATGAATACTTTGCACAGTATTTTATTATACTGTGAGACAGTGAATCAAGAGTGATGGGGAAAAAAAACTTGAGGCAGACATAATGCATATGACAAAACAAGGACATTATTTAATTCAACTAAGACTTTTTCCTGAATGCAACTTTTGACTTCTCTGCAGATGATGATGTCATACCTGTACTGTGGAGGAACAGAGTCACTGAAAACTGACGTGCCTGACTTGCTGGAGGTGAGAATCACTGCACACCATCTGTCTGATTGTTGTATGAGATGTTTTACCTCTTAGAAATCTCAGAGGTTATTAGTTCCACATCTCCACAAGATAAAATGATCACATCTCGACAGTTACAACTTTATTTTTTATGAAGAAATACGGTTGTTGGTACGGCAAAGTGCATGTTTTTGATAAAAATCTAAAAAATGAGTATGAGACAAATGTGTGCACGGTACACACAACAAACAACAGCAATCTCTTGCCCAGATCTGCCTCTCCATATGCACCAACACAATGTACTATTCACTGTGTAGCCTGTTAGTTTTTGGTTGAGCCCTGCAAATACAGTATACATGTGTATATGTGTTGCTTTTAAAAAATGTTTGAAAGCAATGTTGAGTTTGTGATAACGCAAATCCCCAGTTAAACCATTATATTACATTTATTTAGCTGACACTACCACATTACAACCCATTATATCAGTCTGTTGCATTGTAGAACTGCTTGCATGCACCGTCGCACGATTCACTGGAGGTCAAAGTGGATACAATCTGTACAGTGCAGTGAATGTTTGACAGATTGAATCATTTTATCCTTCACCATCAGTTCCAGATATGTGGTGTAGATAATTTGGCTAAACTGGAGACTCAACTGACAGTACGTGTCTCTGTCTTGATAAATAAGCTAGAAAAATACTCACAAGTAATAAAGAATGGTGGTAAAAATGTGTCCTGAATGAAATAGAAGACTGAATTTCTCCAGTGTAAACACGTTCTTGTGATTTCGCCTGCAGTTGTTGTCAGCTGCCAGTCTGTTCCAGCTGGGGGTGCTACAAAGACACTGTGAACTCATTTGCTCGCAGCTCATCAACCAGGATAATGCAGTCAGCATCTACAAGACAGCCAAGGTAACGCACTTTGAGAAGCCTTGATCATATTGTACTGTTGCGTGAACTACAAGAATAGCAAGCTTCATTACACAGCAGACCTTTGCTCTTTATGCTTCTGCAGCTGAGGTGACTCACAGAAGGAAAATGTCATGTTAAAGTGAAAAAACCTCTACTTTTCTTTGGTGTATTAAGCGAGAGGATTCTATTTTATCAAATGGGACATTCAATTTACTGCACAAAAGACACCATGTTACATGATAAATGTCCTACATTCCTCACTGAGAAGCAGCTTTCTCAGTGCAGTTTGTCCTCTCTTTCCACAGGCCCATGGTTCAGTGGAGCTGAGCTCATTCTGTGAAGGTTACTTCTTGCAGCAGATGCCTGCTCTACTGGAGAGAGAGGGTTTCAGGAGCCTGTTGTTGGGACCCCCCGCGGCCCGACAAGGGAACAACTCCACTTCTACGCTGGTTCACAGCCGGGGAGATTCGCCTCTGGAGGAGCTGGAGGCCACCCTGGCTCAACGGCTACGCTCTCTCTGCGTCACCTCCCGAGTCTGAGGACAGCAAGACAGCTGCTGAGGAGAGAAGGCAGGAATAAGAATGTGGCAGTCGAAGCGGAAGTTTCATCTTATCACTGATACGGGATCAGATCTTAAGGAGCTGCTTAAGTTGTTTGAGTACAGATGTTTTCTTTTAGTGACACCTGATCCTATCTCTGGTAACAAGCAACTTCCACAGTGCTTCGACACTGGGACACAGATCAGTGAGTTATGTGGCAGCAGTAAGACTTGGCTTTGTGTTTGCACCAAGCACTCCATCTTGACATTTATTGCAGTGAACAGCATGTTTGTGAAGAAGAAAGTTGGACGATGTGACGCTTTTTCTCCAAGGCTCGGGAAGCTTTCATGGAGAAGCAACAGATGGATACAACAGGTGGAAACTCTGAATTATGAAACACTGCTGCCCTCTACTGGACAGAACTGGTAAAATAAATAATTGCTTTGGAGGAGTGGTATCGACGGCACCCTCCTGGTTCTGACTGAAGCTATGTAAAGTGAAAATAGACTGAATCAAGTGAGGCAGCCATGCTGGACTTTTGGCTTTGTCCCATTTAAACTAATAATGCAGAGTGGGAGGATGGAGGTAGGCTCAGTGCCTCCAGCATTGACGTAAGCTTTGGATTAACAAATGTACTTTTTATGTAACTGTATGTTTTTATTTTCTATTTTTTAAAAAGTATGACCGCAGAAACAAAACACTTACTGAAGAGTGGGATGGACATTTTCTATTTAATGAGAAAAAAAAGATGTGAGAGTATTTAACGGGGTGTTCCCTTTTATTTTGTTTTTAATCCAAGCAAATTATTAATATTATTGATGAAAAATTGCTTTTGTGTAGCTGTTGTGTTTTTTTTTTTTTTTTTTTCTCCAGGTACACTCTAACAGTAATTAAGCTTATGTATGCTGAGGTTTAATGCTTCTATACAGGTACAGCAGCATAGTCCAACATGGGAATTGGAACACATAAAGTCTGTTTTATTGCTGAATATTGTAATAAACCTGGTAAACGAGCTTTGTCATTTTCACTGGCGCTGCAAAGTATTACAGATATTTCACTGCCGTCTGTTTGTGTGGGTTTGTGTAGACTTACCTGAAATCCGGGACAACTCAGACTTGCAAATGCATAAATCTACAACATGAAAGTCATTACATGTGCAATAAAAAAATGATTTAATGAAATACAATCTTACAGAAAACTCTGAGAGGGCGAAATAAGAAAAATTAAATTGGGAGAAGAGATAATTACAGTACATTAATCTTAAATTTGGAGCACTTCTTATATTTTAATATCGAGCAAACCTTGACCATATGGTTTTATAGTGATGTTTACTTCAGGTTCACACTTGCCGCATACATTTAGGCACAAAGAAGTAAAAACAAACACACCATAACTTAATGAGTTTATTTGTTTCAGCACTGAAGATGCTCACAGTTATTTTATATGGGGATTACATCAGTCTGTTTTGTTCCTGCTCTGTCAAAAGACCGCTCTGGGCCTCAGAATCATCAGATGTCCTTGGTGCTGCTAGCTTCCCATTGTAGAAAACAGAAAGGAGGGTGAACGATAGGGTATTGCTTTGTGTTTGTGTACTGATATCCCCTCACTGTGCCTCGTCTACCTTCGACAGGTAGAGAGAGCCCAGACCTCCGAGCCTTCCAGCGAGAGGTACAGAGTAAAGGAAGCATCGTTCAAAAACTTTGTGCACAAGATAAGAGGAGGAGGAAGGGGAGGGATTAAGCAGGAGCGAGGGAATAATTAAAAAAAAAAAAGAAGAAGAAGGCCAGAAATCAAAGCAGAGAGGGTGAAAAGTAGGGGACAGAGGGGGAATTTAAAACATTTAAAAGGTAGTTTTGTGGAGAGAGAGAGAAGAGAGAGAGAGAATCAATGAAGGCTGAGAGAAGGAGTGAGTTTGGCATGGAACATGAACACTAAAGCCATGCAAAGAAAAGCTCATGTTTGACATGCACACAGCAATACAAGCTAAAAGCATAGAGCAGGAATCCCCAGTATGGTTGAGAAGACAATCAACCCCCACGGTTTGTCTGTATATTTACAAAGAGAAGAAGTAGATTGGGATCTGTGGTGTCCTTCTCCTCAGGCCTGGCCTACACGCACAATAATATGAAACTGACAAATATCAATAGAAGAGCATATTCCCTCTCCAAAAAGAGGCTAAGTCTACATTCTTAAATTACTGGTAAATAATTTTTTTTCAAGAGTTCATACAAGTTCTCTTTCCCTCCTTGGAGACATCAGAGAAAAAGAGAATTTGTGACTTGTCACATAATTCTGTTAAATGCAGACCAAAACAAAAGAAAAAAAAAAAAAGTTCATTATTTTCTTTAAATGTTGCCCCATTTACGAACACACAAGAGGGTAATAAATAACATTCAACTGACCTAACAGCTTTGTTCATATAAATAGCCAAGTTATGATAAATTAGGAAATCAAACAGTGAGATGAACAAACATGAATAAATAAGGACAGAAATACAAAAATATCCACAATTGCATTTATCACGTTGTCTTTTTTTTTGTCCTTTTTTTTTGTTCCTCTACTCCTACTGCTGGTAAGTGAGACTAAGAGAGAGGTATAAATGGAAAACCAAAGACAAAGTGCTGCAGATAACACAAACAGGAATGTTTGGATCATTATTAGGTCAATCGAACAGAAGACAGAAAATGATCATGTAACAAAAATACACAGAAGAATTTAAAAGTACAGTATGTGGCAGGCACAGGTTTACCAACCTGACCCTATGGTATCTAAACATAGTGTCACAACTAGACATTTCATTTTTTTTATACATAAGAAATGATATCAGTCTGTACAACAGAATAGATCATTCATTTTAAATACCCAAATACCCACCCGCGGCCCTCCCTCCAACCCTATAGCTATCGTATCATCTCCCCCTCTGCCCCTCCCCTGCCCGGTTCTGCTCACACCCAGCTCCTCTCTGAAATCACAATTCCAGTCCGTTTGCAGCAATAGTATTAAGTCTAATAAAGTCAGTTAGTATTTTAAACCCAGTTCTTCACAAAGAAAGTACATTAAAAAGCAAACAAATACAATCCAGCAAGCATCCGCGTCGGCTGTTTGGGCTTTTCCACAAAACTCCTCCCCCTTCTCTCCTCCTCTGAATCAGTCTCTGCATGTCTTCTTTTTTGTTGTTGTTGTTGTTGTTCTTGTTAATACATCCCAGAGTTTTCTGTGCATACATACATACATGTGTTGTGTATGTAGTGTCTTTTTGTAAAATGTCTCCAATTGATGCTCCTCGAGAGGAAAAAGGGGGGCCGGTTGGTGAAGGGAATGTGCGTTCTTGTCTCATTGGGATTTGTGTGGATTTGTTGTGCACATGTGTGTGTGTGTGTGTGTGTGTGTGTGTGTGTGATCCTAAGATGAGGGGGGCGGGGACACTAAAGGTATTTTCATCTACTTCTACTGATGGCTGCCAGAGGTGGAGAAGGTGGCGCAGAGGGAGATGAAGGTAGAAGTCTGCATGAAGGGTCTGTTTCCATGGTAACCCCCCCCCCTCCTCCTCCTTTTTTTTTTTTTCCAGCGCACCTCTAAAAGCAGTCCTCCGTCAACAAATGTCCGTCCCTTCTCGGCACGCTCGTGGGGGGAGGGTGGTGGTGGTGGTGGAAGTGGTGGTGGAGGGAAGGAGCAGGAGGAGGGGCTTAATAGGTTTTCTGGATAATTCCTGGTATCAGAAACAAGTCAGGTCATGACACAGGTTAGCAGCGACGGAGCAAAAAACAGAGCCACAGGGCGATCAGATGGTTGGGGCAGAGGGGTGGATGATGATGATGATGGTGGATAATGAAAGGGGGAGTGGAAGGACAGGAGTGTGTGTGTGTGTGTCATGTAGGTGCATTATACTGTTTGTAAAATATCACTTTGATTCTCTTAATATATTTCTATCTATATAAAGTCATTTTATACAAAAAAGTGTCCATAAATGATATGTACATCTAGCTATGTACAGATAGGATATTCTCTTATAGTGATACTGGGATGGGTTTTTAGCGCTGGCTCGACTACACAGCCTCTCGACCTATGACTCCTCCAGTGTCCCCACGGACGCCATCGCCAACTTGGCTCTGTCTCGGCCCGCGGCGGGGCATTTGGTGTCATTATGTTCCGGCTCGTGCCTCCGGACGTGCATGGGCGAGGGGCAGCGCTTGGTGGGCGTGCCAGAGGGGTAGGGCACCTGTCCGTTCTTCTCGTCTGAAAAAAGTTGTTTTATTACGTCAAAGAAGTTACTCAATGGGCTGCCTAGGTACACAGATGGGGGGGACAAAAGAGGAGGAAAAAAGGGGAAAGAGAGAAGAAAGAGAACAAACAAACTAATGAACAATGGGGTTCACAGGACAGAGACGAGGCTTAAGACAGAGCAAGCAGAGGCGAGGGGGAGTCAGACACAGAGAGGATGAGACCTGCTGGAGCAGCAGCACCATATACCATGCATATGTAACAGCACAACCAATGAAAACACACAAGTAGCCATCCAATCTAACTAAAAAAATACAGCAAACAGGGCTGGCTGAAGTCATTCTAGGCTTCTGTAGACTGAGAGAAAGTGCGGTGTGTCGTCTGCGTGAGTCGGTGCCCAGGCAGATCTGGCCAGCCAGAAGCAGGAGCACAATGCGAACGCCTGGAGCTTCAACACGAAGATGCCCTCTGAGGATAATAAAGCATCAGTGTCTCCTTCTCCTTGTGCCAAAACCTAATTGTTTGTGGAGTTTTTCACAAGTCATCACAGCTCCGAAGGGCAGCTCGAACCTCGGCAAAGCACGGAAGATGAAGGCTTTTCTGCCTCGTGGCTATTGTGCCAAGCGAGGTGCATCTAACGCGGTAATGTTTGGACTTGAGTCTGCCTGGAGCAAAGAGACAACCTTTGATCAACACATTTCTACACTTGAGCTACACTTCAGCTAACTACAAAACCTGGTCAAAGACATCAAACACAGCGGGTGGGCTGCATCATCATTGTGCTCGACTCTTTGAAGTGAGAAAAAGTCCAACTTGTGTAATTCCACCGCAGAGTCAAAACTGTGATGAGGTGCACTTAAGTCATAAAATACCTTCTTAACTTGATGCTGTGTGCCGGGTAAATGGGTGGATATGCTAAATAACACACGTTTATATCTTCTTAACTGCTATAAGCACACTTATAGCGCATCTGAGGGTATGCAAATGATCTTCAGCTAAACGCACTCGCTCTTTCTCTCAGGGCCTTAATGGTCCCGCTGCAGGTAGGTAGAGTGGTGAGGACACCAAACATGAGAAATGGAGCAAATAAAGAGTCAATGTTCTTTTTGTTAATGGTGCATGCACAGCACAATTCTGGGAACTATCAGTCACAAACAGGACTGATTCTGAATACTTGGCAGAAGATCCATTTGCACAATAGAGTCCTGTGGGCCGACAAATGAACAGTGACAGCATCAGTAAAAAAAAAAATAGGCAGGGGTGCTGCACAGATGACAAGACACACACACTGGACCGAAGACTGTCTGTGTAGCAGCACTTTATAAAAGGCTGCTGGAAAGTGGAATTTCTCAGGCTGACAATATGCACGTGCTGCCAGTGTGAAGACTGCCTGCAGTAGCTTGGAGATTAGGACAAACTTCGTCTAATCACAAATGAGTGAGTGCGTTTTTGTTGTTGTGTTTGTCTATGTGCGCATGTGTGTGTCTGTGTAGACAAGTGTGAATGTGCCACAGTTGGCTTCGCCCGCTCCATTATCCTGCTGGAAAATGGTCGCAGCCAACTTCTCCCTAATGTTCCCGCTTTCCTTTCTCATGTGTGAAGAATTTCCACATTTAGTCACTTCACTCCACCCAAATCTGCACATTTTCAAAAAAAAAAAAAAAAGGAAACTCATGAATCTTAATGATCTGGGCTGCTCGATGAAACACACACAGCACCCTCTGAATGAATGGTCCTCCTCTGCAGTCCTAAAGTACGCTTCCCTATGTTCTTTCACACTGCTTTTCATTGTTCCACCCTTCCTATTGTGTTCCTAAGCCGGGCTCTCAGGTATGCCTCTGTTAATGGTGATTAGGGGGACATAATGACCAAGACTTGATGAAGCCTTTTGTTTGACACACATTGGTATGCAAAGCCATTTCTGTTCTTAATTACAGCCACTGGCCCTTTTTTTCAAAGGCCTTGTGGTCAGGTTGCACCAAAAGTGTGTTAGGAGGTCAAAGGAAAGAGGGAGGCGGAGGAAAGTTTAACAGTGCTTTCAATTACTGCTAAGCACATACTGACCTGTTTTTAGATTCATATTATGGTGTGAGATACTTTCATTTAGACTGACCTTGGTCAAAAACAACTGACATTGACTTTTGATACTAAACACATCAGCTCAGTTTTTTGTTTGTGTGTCAGCAGGATTACAGAAAACTACTGGCCCAATTTCCATGAAACTCGGTGGAAGGGTGTAGCATGGGACAAGGAGCAATCCAACTCATTTTAATTCAGATTCGAATTGTTTTTCACTTTCATTAACATTGCAAAACAGGGCATTTGGCCTTGGCGTCAGTCTGCATTCTCCAAGTTCTCTTCTAGATATGTATGCCTTTTGTAATATCCTCAGTTTCCTCTACTGGCAAATTGTTCTCATATTGTCCACAAGACTCCGAATTCTTCTCGTACAGCGTCGTCTCTGCCGCTGAAACTATTCACGGCAGTTGTTTGAACCTAATCAGATGTAATTTATTCTCATTTTACCCTTCCCACACCTCAGCCTGTTAATTAGCTCTACAATATAAAAGATCTGGAGCAATTGGTAAACTTACTGAGGCACAGCGATGATAACAGACTGTTAAATATCACAACAGCTGTGACAACTGCTGTTCAATTCCGAGTGCCAGTGAGAGAATTATTGCAAAAAAAGCCACAGAGCAAAGTATATAGCTCTCACTCGCAACTTGTAGTGTAATAACAGAGTATAATAGCAAGCTGCGTGATGGCTGAGTATCTGTTCAACAACGTCAGGCATGGAATTGGAAATTGGTTTAAATGGATAAAGGAACAAACAAACAGACATCAAGGGAAACGATTCACAGATGAGATGGAAATAATATCCAGAGAAAACAGCACACCGTCTCCTGATAACAAAAAAACAAAGGTGTATATCAGGCTGGTGGTGTTTCCCAATTTGACCAGCAGGTGGAGCTGTTGTCAAGATGATGGCGACTGAGACGTACACAAACAGAGCAGTGATTCACAAGGAGAGACATGCTAAGAGCAGATGGGGAGGAGAAGGATCCCTATTTCTCTTTCTCCTCTCATCATCCAGACTGTGCGTTGAGAGACTACGATGTAGCCAAACTGGGGAAGGAATGGGTTTATGCGTGTCCAGGGGCCTCGGCATCAACCCTACGACTAATGAGAAGACAGAAGAAGAATGTTGTGAAGTTCACAGGTGAATGGTTTGGTGTTGATTGAGGTTTTTAGAATCTACTCGGTGCCTCCGGAGGAGCCAGAAGAGGCTGGTGGACAGCGGGGAAACAGGGGGAGGGGGTCCTATTGTACGAGCACCCAGAGAGAGAAAGAAAGAAACAGAGCACTTGTCAGGTGTGGTGTCACTGTGCGGTGCGGTGCATTGTGGGAGCGCGTTGAGGTGCAGTGGTGTTGCCATGGTGACAAGCTCCGACGATCAGTCTTGGAAGTAGGAGTAACAGAATGCAAATCAGCTTACCCTACCTCTACTCTAATCTTCACTGCCAGGGCAACGAGACAACATTTGACCTGCAGTCGGTGCTTGAGAGCAACTCCCACCCTTTCATGGCAGCGAGGCGAGGCGCGGGCATGCAAAGGAAGGCGTTTTCGAGAAGCGGAGAGTGGCTCGGGGATTTCAAGCAGAGGAGGGCAGGATTGAGCTTCAGTAGCGAGAGTGGTTTGTCCGGGGGTGGGATGGACGGATGAGGTGGTTGGGGGCTAAGGGTGAAGAGGTTTGGGGTATTTTGAAATATATTTCTTTTAAAAAGAGAGGTTGTTACTCACCAGACAGCTGTTGGACCCCTGGCTGGTCATGTGTGCTTAACAACTGGCTCTGAATCGTCTCCACTACTCGCTTAAAGCGCCGGCTGGGTCCTAAACACGGGCACACAAACAGGAAATATTTGATGCATTACAACACACAGGTAGCAGCACAGGAAGGTGTGTAGAAACTATGTCAGTGGATTAATTAGGAGAGTAGAAAAAGCAAGGGTGATGAGAGGAGTGTGAAATGTGAGCTGGAGAAGCTGCAGAGAGCAAGAGATGATAAATGGAGGCCAGAGAGGAGTGCTCCTGTGAGCTCCTGCTGTTCACCTGTTGTATACAGTATACAGTCAGTGCCATGGAGGAGTCAGCAGGCTCTAAAGTGCCACTATTACACCCCATTCAGTTCAGATGTGCCCCCTACTTGAGTGTGTGTTTGAGTTTGTGTGTGGCTATGTGAGCCAGCCAGAGAGGGAAAGAGAGCATGCATGTGTTTCTGCGAGACTGAGCATGCACGCATGATTGCGTAGTATGTAATCTTGCATAGCCAGACCTCATCTTGTTATGCTCAGGGACGTTTCAGGAGGGGGGTGGCTCTTATCAAGCATCCAGGATTGCAAGAACTTTGAAAATCCTTATGCAGACATTCTTTTTGGCAGCGCCTTTTGAAAACACCCAACCCTGGAAGCAGCACTTCTAGTTTATTTGTTGGCTGGATAGTTTAATTTCATTAGTTTGAAGTGTGACAGCATCCCACTCGACACGTTAGGGATGCCTTGCTGTAGTTTTTAAAGCGACGTGAGCTCCAGTTTCCCAAGACCTCTGTGAGCCTGATGAGATGGGAGGCTGGCTGTTCAAAATTAAACTGTATGTAACACTGTCCTCTGTGATCTGTCGTCTCACAACAGGAAGCGCCCGGGTTTGAACTGAACAATTTCCACTCGGATGTCCCCAAGAGAAGGAATCAAATCCCCGCTAACTTCAAGGCACCCTTTTCTATTGAAGTACAAAAACAAAGCGGGGTGCTTTGAATTTTTATTTCACTTTTTTAAAATCACACAGAAGCTACTGTTTCTTTCTCATTCTGAGGAGAGGAGTCAAACTAGTAAAAGTAAGTTTAGTAGGTCTATGTGCATTGGCTCACAGAGCTTGGGTCTCCAGATGTGAGGTCCAGAGTTGAACCATCTTGTTACTGGTGAGCGGCTCAGCGTGCATCGTGCCTCTCGCCCAAACAGGTGTAGAAAGTAAGGGTGATGTGTGTAGACAGTGTCCTGACCTGAGAGCAGGGTGAAGGTGACAGAGTAGATGCCGTTCTCCTTGGTGGCAGCTGTGCTCTCCGTGTAGGTGATATCCACCTGGAATTTCACCGGCTTCTGGAAAACCGTAGGGCCAGCCGTGGACTTGTACTCTGCTCGAAAACTGGTCTGAGAGATCACGCTGTGGCTCAGGCTGGGGATCTGGGAGGAGAAGAAAAGAAGAGGAGTGAGCGTGTAAAATGAAAAAAATGGAAAAGGAGGCAGAGATAAGAATAAATATAAGTAGTAAAAAGAGGCAAGTAATGGGATTATACATAGGGAGCATTGATGTTTAATTTTTCTCCTACACCTCGCATACGACAAGGTGAATAAACCCTCATTAAAATACCCTCCACATACTACGAGCCACAGTTGAAACTCTAAGGAGATTAATGCCTCGGGGAGTAGCCATGCATGCCAGGGAGACTTAAGCTAATGTAATCTTGAGTCATCCAACAACATTGCACTCTCCCACCTAAAATGAATTTGTATGCCCAATGAACAGGTGAGCTCTGAAATAGTCACGTTTCGCCATAGTGCTGGAGAGGGTTTGACATTCCATTAATGTGAGTGTGCTGAGAGGTATAATTCCACTGATTCAGGTGCCAATCTCCTGTCTGGAATACCAGCTAGCATAACCCAGAGGGGAAAATAGCTACCTCCAGGGATGGGGAAACAGATTTGACATTGACCTGCGCTGGCAGAGTTTGCATTTACTTAGACTTTGTTAAATTTAACCAGGGTGAGGGTGGGTTTTGTTCAATTATGTACGCTGAATATCAACTACCACTGCTGAGGGTCTGTTGATACAGATTTTGCCGCGCTCCCTGAGAAACCCCGGTGTTGCCCGCACGTATTTGCACATCCACATTTATAAAACACACCACACGCACGGAGACAGTCCACGCTATTTCTCAATTTCTTGCACTGCACATCTAAATATACACACAAACACACACACGCATGCTCAATACGCGGTATCGAGGGCAAAGCATCTATATGCTAATGATCAATGCTCTCTGTTGATTTTCTATTGACCTCAACTGAGTCTGCAGTCAGAGAGAAAATAGAAGCACTGAACACAAGCAGTTTACTGAATTGCTACATAAATCAGGAGCATGTTAGCAAACACTCAGGGAGAGCCTGCCTCGGAGCATAGCCAATCGCCGCCGCTGTTAGGGAAGGCTACGCCCTGTATCACACAGCAGATGCACAGGTAATACTGCTGCATGCGCACATATTCGGATTCACAGAAAAAAGTCGGGGCACAGGGAGCACGGATCACACGGGAGAAGGATTTAAGCGAGAAACTGTGAGCGAGTACCGAGAGAAAGGCTTGAACGATGTCTGCCTTGATGGAGCTGAGAGGCTTGTCTCTGATGACGATGAAGATCTGCTCCTCTTTTTCCAGGTTGATGAAGTTACCAAACCAGGATTTTTTGGCAAGTCTGTCAAGGGTGGGGGGGGAGACAAGAAGAAAAGAACAGTTTGTGAGATGCTTTATATATTTTTAACTGCTGTATGTGCCGACTACAGAGCGCTAGTCCTCCTTCCACCATTTTTGCTTCCTTGTTAAAACCCACCCAACCATCTTTCCATCTATCTATCCATCCAGAAAAATGGAGAGCTGGTGAAGAGCTCTGGCTCTCCTCTCTCTCTGCAGCTCTGGGGAAATGGAAAGGAGCAAACGTAGGATACCCTGAGGGAAATGAGCTAAAACTGTGCAGGGGAGAAAAGTTTTCTGACATTTCACCTTCTGCGCAACTGTGTATGTGTAAATGTGTGTATGTCCATGTTTGTGTGCATGTGTGTGTGAGAGAGAGATAATTGAGCCTCTCTCTGAACAGAACTGTAGGTCCAGAAGGGGAAGAGGCAGATGAATTCACTACTGGCCTCAGCCCAGGTGTACCTGCAACCACTAATAAGCCATATGGACTCCTGTTTTCTCACACATTAATATTTCATGAGATTCTTGAAAATGTTGATGGATTTGCAAGGCTCAAACTTCAGCACAAAAAGAAATACTCCCCATTAAATAAATGAATACATCCATGACGTTATGACGTCTGTAGCGACATTAAGGGAAACACTGTCCTGCAGTGAGAAGCTGGTTACAGCTGGTGTGTGACTGTGTATTAACGCAATAAAGCCTAACTCAGCTCAGAGAAGGTCTTTTCCAGCCAACTCTCCCAACTCCTTCCAGCCAGGATGTTCTTCCCAGCCAGGTGGAAATGGCCAAGCCAGACAGCCAGCGAACCAAACAGGCATATCTAGGCCAACCTTGAGTTATCAGGCCCCTGGGAGCTCAGCAACATCACACAGGCTACCTTCCCTCCCTCATAACCAACCCAATACCTCCTGCTACGGTTGCTACTTCTCCAACCCAGACCAGACCTGAGGTCATTACAGGGAGCTCAGCGGGCGCAAATCAAACATTCACGGATGTAATACCTCCCAAAAGATCACGCTATCAAGGGCGAGCCTGTTTGAGCCGATGACTGAGGGGCTGACAGGTTATGCATAGTTATCATGGTGGTGGAAGCTTCAAAAAGTACTGCATCTACTCACTCTGGGGAAGACTCTGGTGTGAGACTGGACATCTCCTCTTGTGTGGGAACTGTGGAAGCAGCGTCAAAGGTCAGACAGAGGTGGAGGTCAGAATTCAGACAAGATAATTCAGTGTTATATTTGCTGTGATGTCAGTACCTTGGAGTTTTCTGCGGTGGAACCGTGGTGAGCCCAGGAAGCTGTTTTTGATGGAGTTGAGGCGCGTCCTCCAAGGCATGCCTCCAATGGAAGGGCTGGGGGGCGGCGTTGGGGTGGGGGTCCCGGCCGGGCTGTCCTTGGGAGTGTGCACCGGGGTGCCCTTTGGGGTAGGGAGGGGGCTGCCTCGAGGGGAGGGGTGAGGGGTGACCTGTATGAGGGGGATAGATTTGGGCGGGTGGTCAGTGAAGGAAGAAGGCGCCGGCGGCACGGGATGAAAGTGGTGCAGCCGGATGGGCGACAGGGGCACCACTGGGCTGAAGGGCACAGAGAGCTGGGGGTTGGCAGCAAAATGGGAGCGCCGTACCTGGGGGCTGTTCGGGATGGGAGAACTGGAGATGGAGGACGGGGAAAAGGGGGAGGACGGGGAGGACGGAGAAGTAGGGGTGGGGGGTACGGAGGCAGAGGGTGGCTGCATCGGGAGCTGGCAAGGAGTGGAGGGCTCTGATCTGGCTGATGCTGGATCTGGGGAGGATTCAGGGAGCGGGTTGGACCGCGTGGCTTGGAGGGGCTTGGGGACGACTTTGGGTTTGGCGGGGAGTGTCTGCGTCTTGTTGAGTGAGTCTGGCAGGGGCTCGCTGTTTGGAGCGAGCGAGTTGGGGGTGGAGATACGCGGGCCTGTGCGATTGGGGGTGGGCTCAGGGGATGGACAGGGGCTTGTGTTCGGGGACTGCGCCAAGTCTGGGGACTGAGGTGGTACACAGAACTTTCTGACAGGCTGGAGTTAGAGGACACGGTGTGAGGACACGCAGCACGATACAGCCAAGAGCAAGAGCGGGTTGAGGAGGAGAGGAAAATAAAGAAAAACACACGGGGACACACACAGGCACATAGATAAAGCAAGAAAGAAAAGTGCAGCACAACAAACAACCGTACAACCAGGAGAAGAGGCAGCCAAATAATATAGAGGCAGGTGAGATGTTTGGATACACGGGAGAGATGGAGGCACAGCAAAAAGAAGAAAGACAGAAAAGAAACATGCAGTTAGACCATTCAGTGACTCACGTCAAAGGAAAACAAAAGTGAAATGGGAACAACGAAAACAGCAAGCAATGCACACAATTTAAAAAAGGCCAAACAAAACATAAAAAGACGGACTTCACTTGAATAAAACATACAGGGCTCTGCTGGCAGAGAGAAGCAAGCAGACACAGAGGTGCGAGAGACACAAGTCCAGCTGTGAGGACAATTTGGGCTGTCTCAGTAACAGGAGGAACGCCATTATGGGATTTTCTGTTAAATTCCCAGTTTCCAGATAGGTTTATTGATCTGTTTTATTTGTAATGATAAAAATTGCTGATAAACTATTTCCCTCGGACGCCTCCCCCTTTTGTTTTTTTCCAGACACAAATCTGAGATAATAACCCCACACGGAGCCTCTCGCTGAGAGCACAATCCGGGCTTTGGGTAGGTCTGAGAAATCAATTTCCCTTTCAGATCAGCCTGAAAGAACCTGTGTGGCGCGAGGAGCTCCGTCTTAGGATCCTGGCTAATCTCGAGCCCTCTCAGGTTAGTCAGCTGGAAAAGTTTACCACAAGCTCTCCCAGCTCTGAGCAAGAAAAGTGGGATTTTCTGAAGCATTCCCGGAGCTGGATTTCCACAGAGCTCAGGCCACAGAAAACAGAGAGAGGGATAATACGCAGAAGGGATAGAGAGAGAAGGAGCTTAAGGGGGGGAGAAAGTTTGCTGTGCCATCACGTCCCCCTGTAGAGGTTCATCAGTATATTTTACTTTGAGTTAACAGAGAAATCCAACTATATAGACGCGGCGAAGACTTGTGTAAAGTCTGAAGGAACACCGGATAAGAAGAGCTTATCATAGTGGATCCCTGCTCCCTCAAAATGCAAAGGTAGATCTGAACTGTGGATTAAAACTCGAGTGAAGAAAGATACTGTAGCTCACACTAATCATAAAGCAGAACAGTAGAACAAAATTGTGCAGAGAGATACAGCAATATTGCTTTCATAGTGAGTGTGCTGTCCACTGTTAAAGGTCAGAGGCCCCGGCGACGTAGCTGTAGTGACTGTCTTTATTTTCTCTAGCGGACATAAACAGCAATAAGATGACAGCAACAAGATGGGATCAGTGGAAGTAGGATGGTCGTTATCTCTGAGGGTGAACATTACAACCAGATACCTGGGAGCTGGGTCGACAGGTGTGTGTTGCATGTGTGTCGGAAGGGTTGTGACTTACCCGTGGGCTGCTGAGGGGGCTGGTGGAGAGGCCAGAGGAGGCTCCACTAATAGACCGCGACCTGTGGCACAAACACGCAAGAACACACACAGGGGCAGAGGTAATTGGTGGGATCAACATGTGTACCTGTGACATGTCTCAGTAAACAAAGGTGGAGGTGAGAGCGTGGAGGTTACATGTTGCACACAGTTAGAAAGCAACCACGGCATATGTCACCATCACCATCATACCAAGCATGGTAGCTGCTATCAAGCCCTTTGCAAACACAACACCTATTCACACAGAGAGGGTGAAAGCGCTACGGCACGGCGACAGCACTGACTTGACGACAGACATCACTGGCATCGACTCGCAGCAATTAGTCTCGAACCAATTAAGCTCAAACTTCGGATTTGAATGTGTCGATTCGACTGCAGCTTCTCCCGCAAATCTATAGGCGAGCTTTCCACAGATTAGCATTCAAATTAGCTTTCCTCCCCGTCTATAGTCTGCTAATAAACCAAACATGTTGACTTTAAGGCCTTAGCGCTGGATCAGTAGAAAATATCTCGAGGGGGGAAATGAAGTGGGACATTTGGTTGAGTGCCATTTGTCATGTTTTTCTTTTTCCCCCGCAGATGCCGTCAATAACCCCTATGAGCAGAGCCCTGCTCAGAAATGAACAATCACAGGACAATCTGTCTCCATCAAGCACACGCACACAAATGTACACACACACACAACCACACAACAACAGGGCCTGTCAACACTTGGAAACACCAGCTGCTCACTGTCACAACACTGTTCCTTTTTGTCATTCAATCTAACAATCCCCCCCCCCCCCCTTTCTCTCTGCATTTCAGCGTTAATGTATTTGCAAACACGTGGCTGAGCCTCCAGATCCTTTGTCTCTCATTGAAAAAATAACTACACTACACAAAAATGTTTTTTTCAACTTGCTCAGACGTACGGGAAGACCTCAGGGGCAAACATGAGGGGCGGATGAGGGAGTTTAGGAGTGATGGAGGAATGAGGGAGGGATGGGAGAATGAAGGATGGGAGGGAGGGAGATGGAGTAATGGAGACTGATGTTCATTTCTGATGCTGGAGCGGTCCCACCGGACCACAGAGGCATCCATACATGGACACAAAACTGTGTACAGTTACAGCTAGTAGCCATAAAAATGCTGCCGCTGTCATAACAACAAGCTCGGATTAAGATCTATATGTATCAATCTTCTAAAAGGCGGAAGCGCTTATTTGGGTTCAGTTACCCTGCTCCCTTGAGCTTTTAATTTACAACCACCTAAAGAAAGAACTGATACTAGAGCAGGAATATTTCTCCTGAGAGGCACAGACACACACAGAGCAGAAGAGAAGCAACAGCTACAATGAGAGGGAGGAAAATATAGAAACACCCACTCTCATACTATTTTTATAATTCTCTCACTGCCCTTTCTGTGAGCGTATTTATTGCACATGCACTCATGAGTAGGCGATGTTGAGACCACATTGGCTAGGATTCCTTCTTTCAGAGAGCAGCTGACCAGACAGTTGCCATCATTTACATTTAAGTCCGACGGTCCACTGAGACATGCCCACAGTTGCTCACTACAGCGTCTGGGCGCAAACAGCCAATCGCACTTCATCTGAACATGGCCAAAACACAGCGTCCTCGGGCCATTATGAGCATATTGTTAGAGGCACTCTGCATCTGTTAGTGTTGGACCAGCAGGTCTATAAAGCTAATGTTACAGATGGTTATGCTGTACAGTAATGGGCTGTCAGAGGCTCACCCTTGCTTCGGAGCGACGATGAATTATTGTAGACGAGTTATGTTATTTATAGTGAGCAGCACACACAACTTAAGAGATCATTTATCATCTATCATGCAGAAACAAAGAGGCCAAGTTATTAAATCAGTGGGAGAGGAGACGCTGGAGCGGGCTATGCCCTCTGCATTTCTGTGTGTGCTGGCTTTAAAGGATCAGTTGACCCTAATTTCAAACAGCCTTATCTTAGTTTTGAGAGATCTCTTTTTGCTTCCAACCACCAAAAGACTATTTAGGTGAATTTAATTTCATTGTGGTGCTCACTTATTAAACAAGTACACTTAAAATCAAAGTAACTGCTCCATCCAGAAACAATATCCTGGTTACTCTGGATAATCCACAGAACACAGTGTCAGTTCTTGTCATAGGGACTATTTTGTTGTAGTTTCAATTAAAAAAGCAGATAGTATAGTCTTTGGAAAAAGACACTGCTGTTTGATTTTTAAATACTGTGAGCCCCAGCATCAAAGTGTAAGTAAGTACATTTAATTAAGTACTGTCTGAGTATAATTCTAAGATACTTATACTTAAGTATTTGCAATTTGTTACTTTCTACTTCCCTAAATTTCAGAGGGAAATACTGCACTCTCTACTCAACTACATGTACTGACAACTAAAGGTGGTACATTTTGATGCTAATACTTTTACTCAAAGAAGAATTTCACTGCTGAACATGATAATGATGTTCTTTTCATAAAAGGGGGCTGTCTATTCAGTAGTAAGATGCAGGTACTGATGAAACTGATGCTATATGACCAGAGAAAACAGAGGAAAACTTTTGCTCAAAAGATATAAAAAACTTACAACTACCAGAATGCACTGTGCTGCACCAGACCAATAAGCGCTCCCTCTGGTGGGTGATGTAATGCAAGCTTGGCCACAGGAAACAACATGGTGGCTGGCTGGTGACGAACAATCATGAATTACAGTTTAACAGTAAGATAAAATATGTTTCTGAAAACATTTTGGATAAGAAACAGGAAGCGCCTGCCTAGTTTTACATTTTGATAAGAGTTTGGGCTGCATTTGATCCCCCTCTCTACTTTTGTGTGTTTCCGGTGGCCACGGTGGTGCCACGAAAATGAGGAAGTATAAGCTGTAGCATGAGCAGCAGCCCTAGAGACAGCAAAAATCTGGATTTGGGCTAAAAGATGAGCAAGGAAATCTGGGCGCTGGTAAGATGGAGGGAAGTTTACCACAGTTCATTTGCACATACTTCCCACATCGTCATGATACAGAGCTGGTTGAAAATGGGGTATCCCTTTAACTGCAGGATTTTTACTTAGTATTTTACCTGATTACAGGATTTGAATACTTCTTCACCACTGGAGAGCACAAAAACCAAAATTCCATTTGCCTCACCTCATAAAGGGATATCTATCTGGACAAATAAAACCAAAATGACCTGCATAGCAAGACACTGCTGGGGGTAAATGAGAAAACATGTTTGTTTTTTTAGGATTTAATTGAATTCATTTTTGTTGCAATTTGGGTGAAGTAACCCTTTAGTGTGTGTGTTGTTGCACCCAAATATATGTGTGGTCACCAACTTTTATCTTTCTGTTATCCTTTAGTCCTAAAGATAATATTTCCCATAAGCCTGTTCTGGAACAGGGTCCGTGTCCTCAGTGTGAGACCACCGGCTGTGACGCAGACCCATCCAAAGCACCTGTGGGGGTCTAATGTTGAGCTGTGGGGGATGGAACAAGTACAAGAGCTTCTGGGACGAGGGCATGGACTGAAATAAAACGAAAGTAAAGCAAAATGAAACGGCTGGTGCCAGGAGTCAAACGGCGAACAAATAACACTGCCAAAGCCAAAGCACAACACCACTGCTCTGCTGCAGTGGAGAAACTTCCATTTTTCTCTTTCTCCCTCCTCTATATTGACTTTGTCCTGCCAATAGAGTTCCTCTACGCTGGGTAGATATTCATATAAATCAACACACTGTTTAAATCCATTTCCTTTTCCTGAGCCCTGACAACTCCCTGAGGACTCAGCACATTAATATTCACAGCTCAGCTCCTCAAATCTCTAAATGTAGTGAGACCCCTGCAGTTCCTGATGTAGAGATCAGTGTTAAAGGTGCTTTATTTGTGCTCATTTCAGCCTCTTAAATAAATTAGAGTCAATAATTAGCATGAGAGCCTGACTTATTAAGACTGCACTGACTAACCCAACACATTCAAACTGCATGAAGCAACTAGAGCAGATCTGTGGAGAAAAAAAAAAATCAATTGATATTCTCTTCTTCACACTGCAGCACTTTTCCATATTTCATTTACATATCATTAACCTCCCTTCATTTCTCCTGGCATGTTGTTAAGATTTAAAATTAAATCAGTAGGATTTCTTGTGCTTTCAGTTTGGCTTTAAATGTCTTTTTAAGAGACTTCTGGGTATATGAAGAATGAAACAGGCATTCACGTGAGAATGTCCCCATGTGTGTCCCTCTGCAACGTGGCTACTGCAGCATTTCCCCCCCAAATCTATTCAATTATACTTCACAGAATTAGTCAAATCATCAATCATACGTATGAAGATGCAGCCTGGGCAGTTGATCGCACTGTTACTGCCTACATGAGATATGTGAAAACGCCGGGTAGGGATTGAGGTTCAGGCATTTTCGTTGTGTAATTTCAGATAAAACCGTTTCCCCCTCTCTTCCATCATTTATGCTGGTGGAAATGTATCCTGTCAAAACACATGTTTCAAAGTCAGTCCTCTCACTGACACCCTCTGATCTGAAGTTCTACGAATCTTCTGTGCTGTCGACAAAAGTTTGCTGTCGGGGAAAGATAAGGTTAGGTTCAGAGGAAGTCAGTCAAATCTTTGGACGTTATTCTGCTACGTACGAGCTTCCACAACGCCATCGTCTATAAACACACACACACACACACACATACGTGCACGCACATGATCAAACAAAGCACACACAAGGACGTGATAAAAGGCAGAAAAGTTTTAAAAAACACAACAAAAAAATTCAAACTCAGACTTTGTTACCAACATCTCTTTCCCCCCACTGATCAGCTGGAAAGCCATAAATTGCAGTGGGGGGGTGAAAGACATAAAGCGAGAGAGAGATTTGATTTGATTTGGAGGCGGAGGGGCTGTGGTGTAGGACTCCCCCCGCCTCCAACCCACCACAGCTGATAGGAAGCCAGACAGAGAAAAACTAGCAGCACTTCCACATTAGCATAGCAATTCCATACAAACAGAGGGGGGGCGTTTGGGACTGAAGGTCAGCTGCACACAAGGGACCACAGTAGAGAATAGATATGAAAGAGTAGGAAGGCGCTCCTAAAAGAGATTTGGGTGGAGGGGTAAGAACAAACACTGATTTAAAGTAGCACAGAGGAAAGATGCAGTGGAGCTTTTTTAATGACTGCGGCTGCTGATATATGTCGAATTCAGACACAAACCTATTTCACACGCTGCCGTCTGTGGATGTGACTTTTTATTGAGATTTATACCTTAAGGTCCTGTCTTAAATAAAGGTTCAAAACACTTAGTTCAGCGCCCTTTATGATGCGTGCCATTCAGTCACGTATGATCTATGAACCGGTGTTGATACTGTTTAGGGGAGCATTATTAATGCTCGATAAAGTCGCTGTAAACCGGCCTTTTTGAGATTCTAGCCTGAGCTGAAACAGATGACTCAGAGCGAAGGGCGGAAGAAGGCAGCTTCAAAACCGATGCAACCTTTAAATAAAGAAGAGATAAGACTTGGAAATGCCTGAAGGGATGAAGGAGCAGAGTAGAGGCGAGGAAACACAAGAAGGATGAATGTTGGAGTGAAATTCAGAGGCACAGAGGACAGGGAGAATTAAGCAGAGGTGTTCAGAGGTGGGAGCTCTTGAAGTGGATTTAAAACTTCTGAAGTGGCTTCCCCCAGTGAAATGAAGCGGGAAATAAATTCTTGATATTTTGTTGTTGGCAAAGCACTACGATGGAGAGTTATTAATGCATCTGACATTTGGATGAATATTCAACTTTATGACTATATATTTTTTATCTACATAATGTATGCACTCCCTGCCTCCGCATTTACGCCCCACACCTCGGAAAAGCTTTTCCCAGCACTCTGCCAATCTGCCTATCATTAGGCAGATCAGGTTATCACCCCTCAGATTCAATCTTCCCCGCTGTCACAAATGTCACCGCCTCTGAGCAGAAATGTGTCGTGTGATGATATATTGGTTGTTGAAATAAGATGAGGGAAATAGATTTTAAATCAGTCCGCTGTGCCTTGTGGGGGTGTGGCTCTGGCTCAACTTGAACATCTCTAAAATGGAGAAATGGAGAAATGTTCTGTGTGCGCAGAAAGTGGGACACAGTATGGGAGAACTGATTATCAATGCATTCAGATTATAAAAAGACAAGATAATTGAGCTAACACCGGAAAAGGGGGGGTTGTAGATATTAAGGCTCTGAATTGCAAATGCGCAGCTCTCCTCCGTTTGAAAATTAAGTTCATTATGAGAGTTAAGTCAAACTTAAGGAACTGACTTCCCAAAACTGTTGAGTCTGTTGGACCCTCTTGTTTTTCAGATGAGCTACAGTGTGTTAAAAAAGACCTATGAGGCTGCTACATGCTGCATATGTCATCACCATTTAAAACAAAGCATCCCTTTAGCAGAAAGCACCGCTGCATCTTTCTCCCGCCCGTCTGTGAGACACACAGCCAAAGGAGGTGAAAGAGTGAGGGGTGAGTGGCAAGTGAATACCTTTCTTCTTTGCTGCATTTTGTACTGGCGTCAGGAATATCCAAGCTTTTACTGTACACTGATTTACTACAGTGAGACAGGAGACAAAGCGAGCACAGCATCAGTCTCTGTTTATGTTTGTCCACAATCTAGCCTGCTGACACCAGAGCCAGACTCGCTGTCAGACCTGCTCAGACACCGCTGGGCTGCGAGATTCCTCCACACACACACACACACACACACACACACACACGCAGACTCACACAGAGCTATGTCTGTCTCTATTTTGTTCATTTGAAAATAGTATAGATTTTTCAGTGTTCTTTTTCTTCACCTCCATGCGTACCTCTGCCCATGCTGTGTCATGTCAATAGCCCTCCTTGCTGGTACAGGTGAGCCTCCGTCTGTGACACTGAGGACCTCCATGGACTTCCTCTCCGGTCTCCTCTTGCCGTGACGGTTCAACATCGGAGAGTCCACCCGCTTCCTTGGGGGATCTGGACAGTGAAACAGATCGATCCAGAATCAACACAGCGCACCTGACGTCTCTGTGCATTAATGCGTGTATTTCTACACATTGAGCAGTTTTGTGCATTGTGTGCATATGTGTGTGAGTGATGTTCAGCGCTGATCACATTGACATTTTAACTAATAGTGAATAAGTAATGGTTTCCTCCCAGACCTTGAACTAATGGCCACTGTATTGACTGTATCACATTCACTGAAGAGGAGGTCTATTCATCAAAATGTCGGTATCTCACAGCACACACTCACACACATACATTTGCACATAACACTCCTCCGATTGCAGAGTGCTTGCTGTCATAAAAAAGAGAAACCCTGGCAGAAGTCTAAGTACAGCATCTCTGTTTCTGTGGGTGGAAATCTGTGCTGTGTCGTGGTGCACAAATGGAAGAATGCCTTTTTTTTTGATGAGTTAATATCCGAGCCGAAGCAGTCACAGCTGACAGTTTTTCAAACTTGGCCTATTGACACCTTCTATTTCTGCTACTATATTTCATTGAGAAGCTTGTCTATATTCAATAAACAGAAAGCCTTTTTTTTCTGACTGGAGAGCCAATCCACCGCTACTGGAGCTGATCCAATTTCTTCTGAAGAAGGAAAACATTGCAGAATGGTTCAGACACTAGGAGCATTCAGGAGTTACCTTCTTGAAGTATTTATTTTTACCTAAATTGGCTTGTTTGTCTGTGTATACAGCTGCCTATTCAATGACTAGGTAAAAAGCCACTGGAAGTTTAAGATACCAGTCACATAGTAGTATTGTTCAGACATGCTGTGAGCTATACTGTGATTTATTTCCATTTTCTCCTGCTATGTTCTTTTCTTTAGTTGGTTTTTAAATCATATTTCAAGGTTCCTACAGCTTAAGACAAGTTGATGTAATTTTAAGGCTTTTTGTAATGCCACTTGGAATTGACCTACAGCTAAGCCCCGCCCTCAAACGCAATGAGCCAATCACAGTGCGTATAGCCGTTCCCATACACTCGGACGTTCTCTGCCTGGACGTCCATTGAAATTACAGAAAGTCAGTTTCGTTCGGTTTTATGAGCTTTTTCTGAGATTTAAAAATGGTCTAATGGTGTGCATGGGGTGCATGCAACTCCGACACAAGGTATCCTGAGAGGCTAGGCGACAGGGTGTATTTTTTACACTTTAAACCACGTCTCAACCGTCTTTATCCTTTGGATAAAGTTTTGTGGTAACGTTCAACTTAACGTGAATAAGATTAACAATGATGTCTACATTTGTTCTAAGGTAAGTCAACATTGTGTTTGAGGCAACATATTGTCACTTTGCTAGAAAGAAATATAAAGTTATCTTTAACATATCTAGCTAACGTTAGATAAAGTTAGCCTAGCGTTAGCTCCTAGCTGCGTTGTTCATCTTGTCACCTTGTTTGCTGGGAGTTCATTAGCCTTCTAGTATTGTACTTTGGTGATCGTACATCACTGTTAGCTGTTGTCCAAAGGGCTCTAGTTAAGCTAACGTTAACTTCTGGAGCTTAGCTTCATTAACTTATCTGTAATCACAGAGATAACAAAGGCTGGCAAACGTTATGCTGAATGATTCAATGTAAATACTGTAGCACCAAGATGGTAAAAAGGCCGTTATCCTTTTCTCATATTCTGAGCCAAAAACCTTCACTTCAGTGGCACTTTGATGCACCAAAATTTGATCGTTATGTCTCCAAAAATCATCAATTGCCTCCATCAATTTAGTGAGTGGAGGGGGGGGGGGGCGTGGTTTAGTCATAGGTCAATTACATTTTAGACCAAAATCGAAGAAAAAAAAAACAAAATTTTGCCAAATTGTTTATTGTAACATTAAACATGGCTTTTTCGTCTTGTGGTGGAGACAGATGTAGAACAGAACTGGGAAATACCTGGTGTTTGTTGCTGATTTTGTGTTTCTATTTCTGCATGTGAAATTCCACTGACTTGATTCCATCGTGCTAAGTTTAAAAAACAACAACCTTTTAGCATAAAAATTACTGTAAAATCTTGGTTAAATAGCCAGTTATCATTGAATTTGCACTTTTCCATGTCACCAAGCGTACAATGACAGCTAGCTGGCTAGGACAGTGGATCCTCTACTCTGAGCATTCCAGCTAGAAACAAAGTATGAGTGTTGGTTCCACGATCTTGAGCTGCAAGAGGCATTCTGGAAATTATTTTTTTAAATTGATGTTATCAATTATTTTGAGATTTTACAATGCAAAGTCAGCAAAAAACGATTCATAAAATCCTACTTCCAATGTCTTAGTATTCTTAAGACTTCTGAAAGATTGATTTAAGCAATTTTAATACCAATTTGAGCCCTATTCTTTAGATTAATGAATCAATAGTTTTTAAAACTTTTTAAGGATCTCTAGAAACCCTGATATTCTATCATGTTAGGTTCTTTTCAGCACTCATCACTTCAGCCTGAAACTCACCGATCTCATTGCGAGGGGGAAGGTTCTGGTCCTCTTGACTGGGGTACCTTTCCTTACGGTCCAGTAACAGGAAGTAGATCATCTTTTCTTGGTTGTCACTGCAAAAAGGAGACAATAAATACTCTACTTAGACATCTGGAAAATATGATACAATGATTTTAAACAAACCTGGGTAATTCCAATCATAAACATGTAGATTACTGAAGCATCTGTATACGCAAACCAATCTGCAAGAGCTCAAAACCAAGACATTAAACTGCACAAACCCTCACTATGATTAATGTCCTTTAATCTTTTTGGGTTCATTGTGAAACAGCTACTAAATAGCTTCCACCATTAAAAGAAAAGTTGAATTTTACACCTCATTAAGCCGTCATATAATATTCTGCATATATTTTTTTTTAGATTATGTCTCCATATGCGGTGTCTACTGGTAAGTTTATGAAAGTATCAAAACATTATGCGTTCGTCCTTTTCTCTCTCTGTAAATCAGGGAGCCTAATATCTTTAGCCTCTAGGCCAATACTTTCTATGCAAAAGGCTCTGGGACTGGCCCTCCGTAATAAAGACAGATTGGAAAACAGTAGGAGGCAAAGAGACAAGGACCTGCAACTTCAGCTAAAATGAACCAGGGGAAGGGAGATAGAGAGCGCAGATTTTCCTCCAGTCCAGCACTATTACGGGATACTCCCAGGAGGAAGGAAGCGAACGGGAGAGATGTGGAGGGTGGGAGAGAGATAGAGTAATGCTCGTTTAGTATTAAATTAAAGAGGCCAAGAAAATGTAAAATAGAGGGAAAGGAGATGGAAAAGCAACGCATAATGAAACTACAACATCTGTATGCTTATATTAATAAAAAACACAAGTGTGTAAAAATACTGCAGGGCAAGCATCTTCAGCATAACCGCATATTCACAGCGGCAAAGACACAAACACAGAATGGGACCAACATTATTAGAAGAGCATAAACAATGTGACCCGGGGGCTTGTTCCTGGTGCAAGCTAGGATCAGCTTGTGGGGAATGTATCCAGTGGCAAGCAGTGTAAGTGCTGTGTGATAACAGTTAAGTGATCTATAGCCTCTGACATCTAAAGTGACAGCCTCGCAGGATTTCATAAGAGCCGGAGAAAAACCAAGGCCGTCACCTCCCCATCCTTTCATTGCAGTGCCACCGCACAGTCCCATCCTCTTCTCCCTGTCTGCAGCTGCTTTTATTTCCCCCATTTTCAACACACTGTTTCACCTTTTTACCCCGTCCTCTCATTCCTCTGTCTTCACTCCCGCCTTTTCATTCGCCGAACCACACCTCCCATTCTTCTGATCTTCCTCATCCCATCTCTCTCCCATCTCTCGCTTGGGCCACTCCATTCACTTACTCGTCTGAGAGCAGGTCTTTCAGTAGTTTGTTTTTGTCTCTGAAGCAGCCCAAGGAGTGCATGCTGTCCAGTACGTCTGGGTCGATGTCGTCTGCGGAGGGCAGGCTGCGGATGGTCACCTTCCTGGGCACCGGCTGCTCTGGTTCTGGTTCGTTCTTCCCCCCTCTGGGAATGCAAAGAATTACACAAATAAGACACCATCATTTTGTCTGTACTACTTTTAATACATCAACAAAAAAGTTTTCACACAGCTTATATAGCTATTAGAGGCATTAAAGATCTCACTTTGCAGATTTATAGATTTAATTACTATGTAATGCAAACAGACTATGCACTACTTCGTTGGGAGTTTGCCTCTTTACGACCCTGGTCCACATTATGAAACTTTCATAGTCACATATTCTCCCCAGGTTCAGTCATTCTGCATGTAAGCGTCAGAGGTTGAATAAGGGTCATCGTGCTCACCAAGATGCAGACAAACGTCTGACTCACACTAGTAAGTTTTGCAATCTCCTTCTCTTCCCTTGGATTGTTTTCCAAACTTAGATTCTTCATTATCCCCTTCTTCTTTCCAGACACTCTCCCAGTTATGTCACTTTTCTCTGTCTCTCTTTTGTCTTTCTGTATCTAGCGAGTACACAAGCAGGACTTTGAAAGGCTAATCCACACTGACACCATTTTTTAGAGGATTTCTGGAACATTCCAGACGTCTGTTTTCAAAGAACGGATTCATCTTCGATATCTGCAAATGTGCCAATACGCACAGCCTCAGATACACAGCTTCACAGGTATATATCTACACAACCCCCCTCTGCTTTTCTCTGCTAATCTATTTTCTCCCTCTGGTGAGCCCTGTGAAATGTAAACCCCATAGGCTGCTATTAAAATCATATCCACCTATCTATATGCTGCGAGCCTGTGAACTGCAACCGCAGTCCCACACAACCCCCACCCCTGTTTCACTATGTGCATATAAAGTTTGGTGGTGGGTGGTAATGAAAAATAAAAACAGGACCCTTGTTTCATCCCTCAGTTGCCACTTTATTAGGTCCACCTTGCTATGCAGTGTACTAAAACAGCCCTGCAATAAACCCCACCTTAATGAAGGTTATAAAGGTTGGATTTTTGTTCAAGCTGTTTTAGAAAGGTGTCGACTACTCAGTAAAAAGTGAGCCAAGTCAACGGCACCACAAGCTAAAGGCTCCAAAATGACCATAAAGTTGAGTCGACACCTCTCTAAACACAAAACACTATAACCTTCAGTGAGGCTGGATTTACAGGGCTGTATTAGATTGCAGTAATTTTAGCTAGGCACACCTAATCAAGTGGAAACTGAGAGCACGCTTGTCCACTGGCCATCATTAGAGTTACTGGTGAGGAGAGTTTGGTGCTATCCCTTCAGCACCACAGCTCCGCTCAGACTGTATGAAAGCTCACCTATTAACACAACTAACAAACAATAGGGGTGGATGGCCTTCTTTTAATATGTGTTATGTGGAAAGATGGCTGCACATGATTCATTTTTACCCCCCACTGATGAGCTGCTTCTGGGGAAAAAGCCAAAAAGCCCCAGCTACATTTCAAAGACACCACCTCATTCATTCATTCATACGCTCATTCATTCAGCCCGTCGCTTGGCTGGCCAGCCTGCCCCGCAGAGACAGGCAGCCAGGGAACTTCTTCACTGACAAAACTCACATTACATTAGTCTTCTCTCCTAGCTCCTCTCTTGTCTCCTCTTGTTTCTTTTATCAGTCTCGCTGTCTGTTTGTATGATCTTTCAGTGCGCGACAGAAACCATAACTCAAGCCCTTGCAGGACTCACAACCCTCCTGCCATGATTCATCTTTTCTCTTGCAGTGAAAGGATCTTGGAAATCCTTTCAGAAAAATCTTCAAATTACTTTTTCAACTCCGACTTTTAACCCTTTGAAACCTGAGCCAATTGTCTTGATTTCTTTCAAAAACACAGGAAGAAGGCAGCAAGCAAGTGAACTAGAAATTACCCAAAATTAGCAAAACGTTTGTAAAAAAAAAAAAGTTACACGATTACCTAAAATTAGCATTAAAAGAGAGGTTAAAAACAACAATAAACAAGGAAATTACCTGAAAATGGGGCTAAAAAACACGCACGCATGCACGCACGCACGCACACTCACTCACACACACACACATATATATATATATATATATATATATATATATATAAAATAGGTTTGAATATATAATTTTAATAGTCATAAATATAGTTTCCTGGATATTCATTCATTTTCCGTAACAGCTTATCCTGGATTTTGAGACATTTTCCACTAATTTTTAAAAATTATTTTCTGTTTTTCTCTATTTTAAAAAAAATATTTTCTGTTTTTCTCTATTTTAAAAAAACATTTTCTGTTTGTCTCTATTTTTAATAATTGATTTTCTGTTTTTCCGTATTTTTAATAATTGACTTTCTGTTTTTCCCTATTTAAAAAAAAAAATTCTGTTTTTCTCTATTTTTTAAAAAATATTTTCTGTTTTTCTCTATTTTTAATAATTGATTTTTTAGTTCATTTTCTTGCTCATTGTCATTTTTTCTTTCCCTATGTTTTCGAAAAAAAAATCAAACTGATTTACTCAGGTTTCAAAGGTTTAAAACAGTGATGATCTGTTTATTGGGGAGGATATCAGCCATTATAAATATCAAATGGTGTACTGGTATATTATACATATATATAAAAAAAATGCTTCTGCCTCCCATTAAAAAACCCAGTCTCGTGACCTCTGACATAACTTACTTTGACATACCGACATAATTTAATAATTTAAATGATTCAGTAATTTACCATCTTCTTTGACTCTAATGATGACACACTGATGTTGAAACATTTGTCTGTTTGCACCATTAAAGGCTGTAAATTCATCAGTGTGCTCCAGTCCTTTCTTTCCCCTTGATCATTTACGATGACCTGCCCCATAAATGTTCTCAAAAAAAAAAAAAAATTATGTTAGCTTAAAAAGGTGGGCACACCCTGTAATGAAAATTAAATGACGTCTACACTGAGGTTATGTGGATTCATCCTCCACCACATCCCCGCATGTTCCCTCTCCCCTGCTCCCTGTTCAGTTGACCATATGCTGCACATCCTCTTTCATGCACTACCAATTTACCCCCACATCCCCGAGAGTGGAGTCATGCCCTGCTCAAATGTACTCTCGTGTACAGGGAGGAAACTCAAAGCCATTCATCATGCGCCCGCTCCCCTCAGGTCTACAACCCCTGCAGACGAGAGGAGAGGAGGATGTTAAAAGGAAGGAAAGACAGTGTACTTACATGTACCATGTGTGCTTCTGGATCTGTTCTAACTGTAAAAGACATGACAGAAGAAACGGCAGGTTAGTACACAAGCAAAGCATTTTTGATTTGTATCTTTTTGGCAATAAGAAAATAATCACAGGCAGAAGAATCAGTGAGGAAAAAGGTGAATACAACAAACACTCAGTCTTGTTCCCGTGTATAGAAACACTTGACGCAGAATGGCTTCAGTAAGCCCTGAGCTTACTGGCTTAATGGAAACACAATAGGACAATACGGCCAGATTGAACAGTGGAAGTAAATAATGAGGCCTTCAAATATTAATACTGCCAATGGGAGAAACTTATTGAGAAAAAGAGTGAGACACAGAGAGGTGCAGCAAGAGTATGAGAGAGAGAGGTGATACCGCTGAGCTATAAACAGAGAATATTATCTCCCTCGCACACACACTGCTGACCCTGCCAAGCCCTCTGGTCTAAAGGGAATCTCCCATTCTCATTCTCCTCCCATCTCTCTTGCTCACACAAACACACACTCTCGCTCTCTCAATACCACTCTTGTCATCACACTTTTTAATGTGGCCACTTTGTCACCGACACTGTCAACATGGTCTTTTGCCAACAAAGGAGATGCAGGAAGAGACAGAAACAGTGAGCAAAAGGGCAACAAAGGAAGATGTCTGTTAGAATGACTCTGCAGTGTTTCAACTGCCCACAGAGGGAAACAGGATCAATGTCACTGCTGGGACTTTTTAATTTGCTCATGCTGTTGTTGTGGAACCACAGGAAATACACATAGCAGCTCTAATTATTGTCACTTATTCAGAGGCTGAGGTCTTGGGTATGGGTCTCCATCAATGTCTCCGTGTTCCCACTGTCCCAGAGGATTTACCTCTGCGCTTCAGCACTGACGAATATCCTCGTGTGATATTAGTGCAATCACAGAGCAGGCCGGGGTGCGGTTTCTCGCTATAGGTGCATCTCGTCTGCCTCCGCAGAGGTCACGGTATTGACAGAGACACCCTGCCTGTCAGATACAGGCCAGTGGGTGACCTACTCTCTCTCACTTTTATTGAAGGCCTAGAGGCAAGAGACTGATATCACACGCAGGGTTGAAAGTGATGCGGTTTGAAATGCGGTATCACATCAATCAGTCTCTAAATGTGACAGTACCAATTCCAGCTGCTTTCACTCAGGCAGAGGAGGATGCTGCTGTAATTCTGCTTTGGCTAGGTGTGAGCATGTGCGCTCAGGTATGTTCTTATCCAAGCGCTGCATAAATGATAATTATTATCTGCATGTTCTGCAGAACAGAATATGAATTTTTGACATCTTACCATATTAAAATTATTATGGAACATAACTTTTTGGGGTAATTTTGGTTAATACCTCCTAGCATTTTAAGAACTAGGAAATAAAGGTGAAAAAAAAAAACAAAACTGCTGTGACCTCACTCCAGCTAGATAAAGGGAACCTATTACGCTTTTCCTTATTTTCTATCACATATACAGTATAATGTGACAATGTCGGCTGTTCTTTATACACATGGCCAAAGTTTAAATCCCGAGGTTAACGTATGTAAAAGTAATCCACGTGACCAAAAACCTCCCTATAAGGTTTTAAAGTTTGAACAGGCTCAGTGGGTCGTTCAGCTCAAAAGCGACATTCATGTAATACAGTAAACATGCTAACAGCGCTAACAATGGATCGGAGATGTGGTGCAACATTTTCTGCTGACGCTATATCAAACAAAAGTCTGTCCTATTAAGTTTCTGTGAGCTGTATATTCACCATTTTTAAGCAGATGAGAAAAGATAATGTTATCTCAAAAGTTTCTCCTCCTCTGTGCTGCTGCATCATGTCTGCAGCTGCCTGTACCAAAGAGCAGTGTGAAAGTCAAAAGCGCTGACTCCGCAGCAAAAGTACAGAAGTACACTACACAGCACACTGACTAGCAAAAATAAGACGACTTGAAGCGATCTCAAGTCGTCTAAGGGGTCTCCAATTGAGGATGTGAGTGTCTAACTTTCAACGTGCAGCCCTACTTTATAAAATTATCTGCCCCAGGCGTGTTGTGGCAAGTGTTTACATTACATACACCGCTACATGTAGCTACACGCTAACACCTGGGAAACATGTAATCTTAGTTGCAGATGCTGTTAATTATCAATTTCCGGTCATATTCCTGCTGGAACATGGGAAAAATTGGGAAAAAACTTAAGCCACCCAAGAGCGCAGACACAGAGGACCTGGAAACGCTGAAAAAGTGTACTGGGCTTCTTTGGGAGAGAGGTTTAAAGAGACAGGTGCTAAAATGCATTTTAGACAGAAGGTGAATACAGGTGTTCCAGCAGACAATATGAGGAAATAAAGCGTTGTTTGAACATTAAAGCATGTGAACATGGTTTAGTAGAAACCCCAAATACATGAACCTAAAAATGAGCATAATAGGTCCCCTTTAAGACTAGCTGATAAGAAACCTAAATCAACCACTTTTTCCTTCTCTGCAGTTGCAAAATTGGCTCTGTGGGCGGCTGTGGCTCAGAAGGTAGAACAACTATCTCCAGCTTCTCCAGTCAGCATGTCGAAGTATCCTTGAGCAAGATACTGAGCCCCAGATTGCTCCCGATGGCTGTTCCATTGGTGTGTGTGAGTGTGTTAGAAACTGAGTAGCAAGTGGCACCTTGTATGGTAGCCTTGGCCACCAGTGCATGAATGTGTGTGAATGGGCGAATGTAACTCGTAGTGTAAAAAGTGCTTTGAGTAGTCGGCAGAAGTGAAGGTCCATTTACTCCAGCATCTTAAATATTGAGTTTTTTACACCACAAAAATAAGGAAGTAACTAAATCTAATAATGGTGAGATAGAAAGTTACAGCAGATAACCTGATCCAGCTAAAAGGCCTCGCAGAGTAACAGTAACGTCTCTCTCTGGTGGAACTCGTGATTAACTACAGTGCCATTTCTCAACGAGACATTCAAACACACACACTTCCTTTTATTTTCATTCCAACAACCTCTGCACTTCATCTGCGCCGTCCTCATGAATGTATTACATGTCTGTGATGAACTGCTCTTTAATATAATAAGCCAATCCTCTTCATTAGCCAGGGATCACGAGGAGGCAGATCTTTCCAGGGTGTCTGTGTTCATTTCAATAACGCTAAAGATGAGATGACTGTGTTGAGGTGGCTGGCCCGGTTGCCTCCGGGGCCCCCCGACTACACAGACAGGAAATGAAGAGAAAGGCTTTTATTGGGCTAAGCCCCTTAAGCCCGGGTACGTGCCCTCCCACTCAAGACTCTTGGGCCTCTGCTTTGTGTGTGTACTTATGTGCATCTACTAGAAGGATGTAATTAACAGGAGGTGACAGTAGAAATACTGACACACATGCAGTAGCTGTGGTCTGATTATTACCCTGTCAATCTGATTCAACAAACTACTGTCAACATCATTATGAAAAATAATCCCTTGCAAAAGAATGACATGTTCCCCTATGATGTCATTTCCACCCTTGGGTGTACCTGTCTCGTCTCTGACAGGGCGGTCGCCACTAAACTCCAAGAACGCTCAATCTAACAGGGCTATTTGACATTCAGCGAGGTTACAACACATCCCCAGAGCTCTGTTTGGAGCCCTCGTGCACAGGAAAGGTAGCATATTCTCTCCCAGCAGCTCGGTCTGTTTGTAACCCTTTTGTTGAGGACAGCGCTGGAGGCTGCCGGACATATCTGGGGGATCTCAGGGTGACCTGTCCTCGTCAGGCAAAGAGAACGGGAAAAATAAAGCATATATTGTACGTACAGCATACCAAAGCGGTGGGATCTTTCAAGCTCGTGTTTCAACGCTGCTGCTTATCTGAAGGCTGTACCTTAAGGATGTCAACTCTCCCGCAAATGAGCATCTCTGTCTTTGTAGCTTTCTGATCTTTTTTTTTTTCCTTGTGCCTTTCACGTTCTGTTATGTAAAGTCATTCTGACACTGTGAAAGATAGCTGAGGCACGGGGGAAATGAAGCATCAGCATCCACTTAAGGCTGGTGTCACCACATTTGCTTACAGGCAAGTGCATGAAAAGAGTTTTGTTTACTGCATTGATTCACAAAGACACCTGGAGAGCCTGGAGAGTGTGCGTGCATACGTGTGTGAAAACATTTTTTTTTCTATTTTGGGTGTGTGTGTAGATACAGTAACTTGTGAGTCTGTATCTCTGCGGACAAGAACAAAGGGCAGCAGCATCTCGGTGTGAAGTCCATACTTTCTTTTGAGATCTCTGACCACTTTCATTATTTACATTTCCCTTTGTCCACCTCTCTCTCTTTCTCCCCCTCAACCGGACTCTCTGCCCTTCGCATCCCTCTGTTCTCGCGCTATCCTCCAGCCACCTTGCCAAGGTGATCAGTTGCTCTGTAGAGAGGGACTGGCATTGTGATGAGTACACTAAACAGTGCAGAGGGAGAGTACACAAACAGCAGTCCTCTCCTGAATTCACATCCTGCACTTGAGGAGGAACTCAAACGGAATCGGGGATGAGGCGAGGCAAACACTTTTTGGAACACAGGGGAAGGAAGAAGAAACAAAGAAAAAGGTGACGGCTGGCTTGGCAGCTAGTTGCTATTAGCCACTTTAGTTTGAATGCTTATCTCTGCCATCTTGCTTTCTCCTTGGAGCATTACAAGTTTTCCCAGCTTGCTGTGAATCTGCAAAATAATGATTTCCCCCTCCTAACGCACACCTGATGTGTCTGGGTTTCTCTTTTTTTTGCTGTCTCAAAATACATCTAAATGTGTTTTGCTTCTTCTACAACATCATTACTAAACAGAACTAGTCTTGGACTATGAGTATGAAATATTCAATACAGATATAATTCAAGTCTTATTGATTCCCTGGGAATGTATGAATTGTGCATAACAAAGTGCAAAGACTACTGTGTACCCTCATGTTGTATTAAATCACATTGTACATACTGCTAAAGAATAACATGCACTTGAGATGATACTTAAATATTAGTGTGCAAAGGCAGCATATACATACCCTGAGAGATATATGTAATAAATACACCCACAGCCACATGGCTATTAATCACATAAGGGTGTAATGTCCCTTCTCAAACTATTTATATATATAGTAACCTCCTCTTTACTGCTGTAGCAGTCATCGCTCTTTTGGGAAGGCTTTGTGCAAGACTTTAGGCTGCAGGGTTTTGCTCCCATTTAGCCAGGTCAAGTTCTTCATTACATTATTTCTTTTTGGGCTTGCTTTCCCAGACAACTGCCCCAAAGTTGAAAGCTAGTGTCTAAAATATTACTGTATGTTGTTCCATGAAGGACTAAGGGCCCTGTCACACCAAGTCAGCTGTTGGTAGGCTTCTGTGGACCTAGTTTTTGCAATGTGTACCGCACCGTTGGCACTACTTGGTTCCTGTTGGCTTTTTTTGGTCTGATACAGTGTTTTGAATCAGCGTCAGAGACGGCAAAGCACAACAGGGAATAAAATCACTCTGATTGGCAGTTCAGCTCAGTGCATGAGAAGCGAAATGGAAGTGAGGAAAGTAAACAAACAACTATAGTTAAGAGGGCATGAGATCAAAACAAACTTGTTATATAAGGTAAGATTATTTTTTTTTAGCTACTGAACTCTTCAGCAGAAACAGTTCATTGTTATAGTTCACTGGCACACAGTAAATATGTTTCATTCTTTCAACATCTGGTTGTGTTGTTAATGTGCTAACTGGCTAATTAACTTTGGGAATCCGTCCTGTTGGTCCTCTGATTTTCCCATTTTAATGACGAATACAGACTATCCCCGCCTGATGCTATGGAGAGTTACTTCCTCGTCACACAGGCGCAGAACGCACATGCCAGTTGGCCACTGGCTGTAGCCTTTGCGGTGTGTTCAGTGCAACTTTTTGGCTGAGACACCGGCAACATGAGGGGACTCAACAGCCGGCCTTCGTCGCCAATAGTTCTTTGGTGTGTCTGAGCCTTAAGGGGCCACAGCCCAAGACCAAAGCACACACAAGTATGTAAACATAATTACAATGGCTTACTATAATCCAGTTTCTTAATTGAACTGACCGTTAATCTTTTGGTGGCATCCACTTCGATCATGCCACGGAGGAGTTTCTGACAGTCTGGAGGGATGAAGTGTGGCATGTGAAACACTCCCAACTTCACCTTCTCTAGCAGATTCCTCAGGTTGTCGTCATCGAACGGCAGGGCACCCTGGGGAGTCATAGGAAAGGAGCAGAGTGAGAACAAGGAATAGACATGGTGAGGATTTAGGAATTAAAAACTAAGCAGAGAAAAAACTGTTTGCGCTTTTTTTAATGGCAGCATTAGAACAAAAAATAAGCCTTCACCCGATCGAGGGCAGAAAAGAAAAAAGCAAGAATATGAATGACTAACAAGGCTCGCCAGGAGAAATGAAACTGCATTTTGAGTCTAAATCCTGCACGACTTAAAGAACAGGCTTGCTTTCTCAACTTGTTCAGCTCTCCAATTAGAGCATTATGCCCTCAGCCACAATGCAAAATAAATAATAAACAGCGGTAAGCTGAAAACGGGGCTTTTCTAATAATTACCCAGCTTTCTCATTTACCTCGTTCATTTAGCATTCCCTCATCAGAGTCATTTATCAGAGCGGGTTGACACCTCGCAGATGTGGCTGTTTGATGAATGACAACCTCCACAAGACAAGATGGAGGGGGAGAGAAAGCGGGAAAGGGTGAGAGAGACAGAAAGAAAGGCTGAGAAATGAAGAAAGGTAGAAGAGGAAAAAAAGAAGGGGGGGGGGCAGGCTTTGGTAACAGATGATCTGAGCGCAGCCTAACTGCTGGGGAGTATGCGTGTCTCCCACAATCAGACAAATGGTTATCTCGCAGCCAGACGACAGGACGAAACAGGAGAAAGACAATATTCATCTGCAGTCAAAAGGCGTCGGGGAAGAAACTTTTGTTTGGAGCGAGAGAAGTGCGGTCACGATGTAGACAATGGTAAACAACATCAGCTTTACGCAACACAAGAGTACAAGGGAGACTGTCCTTAACACAAGTACACATACACACACACACACACACACACACACACACACACACGAGACAGAAAGAGACTGAGTGAGAGAGAAAGAGGCAAAAACAAAGACAAATACGCAGGGCCTGTGGCCAAAAGCCGCCCTGTCAGCGTTGGTATTTATTTTGGGCTCTCTTCTTTCAGTTTGGCTGTATGAATTATTCATGGAGCAGGAGTGTGTAGGAACTACAGTACAGCTGTTGATGAAACAAAGCTTCAGGGCTGCATGGCTGGGGAACCACAGACATAATGTAGCTGGAGAATAGACCTGATTATGGATACAGCGTTGTGTGTGGATACAGGATAATGAATAAAAAGATGCCTCTATTCTCTGATCTTTCTGTTGCGCAAGAATTTCAGCTTGAGGGCGTTTCTGAAACATTTTTTTCCCCCAGTAAGACCTTCTAAATGAAAGGATTTGGAATTTAACTCCCTGAACCCTGAGTTTCTGTTTGAGGCTCCGTGGCGGGTTCAAGCTCCATCTTCTCATTCCATTAGGGTCAGCGTCGAGTCAACAGCAAGAGTGCAAAGTTGGGAATGTCCTGTCGCAAGGCTGACTTGCTTTCTACTTTTGAGCCATTACAGCTGGTGGAGCGGCTGGTCGTACTGTTTGGCTATAAATGGGAGGCCACACTTCATGCTTTGCCATATTTCTTTGGAGAATACGAAACTGTATGTCAGTCCAATCGCCATTACTTAGTAAAGAACAAGCTGACACTCACCACCAACAGGGCAAAAAGAATGACCCCACAGCTCCAGACGTCTGCTTTCCTCCCATCATACTTCTCTCCCTAAGGACGAGAGAGTGTTTGTTAGGGCAGAGTGTAAGGGTTGGTTAAAATAAGATGATGGACTATTAAAAAAAATATGACTCAGTGAAAAATGACTCACCCTGATGACCTCTGGACAGGCGTAGTGTGGAGATCTGTTGGGAAAACAGAAAAAAAGTGCATGAATTCAGGAAATAACACAAGGAAAGAAGGAAATCTAGGTTATTTAAGGACTTCTCCGTTTGTATTCCTGTATCGCAGAGTAAGTCTAGGTTATAAAACCATGACACAACACACATTAAACAGTCAAACACCACTGCATGAAAATGTAAAAAGAACAATTCAGGCAGACAATAAATGTCTCAAGTGAGCATAGATCAAGATGTGCTTTGGAAGTTTAGACGTCCCGAGGGTGTTTGGATGTCCTCCTGCTTGCTCACTCAAGGGCATCCTCTCACAGCAGACAGTGAACAGACCCCACTAATCTTTACTGCACCTGGATGGGCTGACAGTAAACCCAATGACTAGATTGACACATCAATATCGTATGAAGATTTATGGAGCTGCTCCGTAAAGCCACTGGCTATGAGAAGCTGTGGAGCGACTTGTTATTCTATACATACAGTGGCGCTTTTGCAGCTCTTTGACATTGCCAAACTCACCCCCTGGAAGTAAAAAGATAAGGAGTAGTGATAATCCATGTTTTGCAAACCAAAGACCACTTTAGCTACAGGATGTTTCTTTGTTTCACTGATTTTGGGCAACGCTCTGCTCATTTTTCAACATGCCTACGTGTGACGGCGAACAGAAAGCAAATCAGGCACCTGTCTCCCCAAACTTCTCAGCCCATGCTGGTGATGTGATACGTCCTCCGCCTCCTTCTCCCGCTCACTCTAATCTAACACCGGGATATTTGGCTCTAATGAGAGACTATCTGAAGTCTGTAAACATGGCGCCCATTAGCTTGGCTGTTGTCTTGTGTGCTCATGAATACCAGCCCTGACGGCGCGGCTCCCTCTGGCTGTCAAAATACTGGCCGATAACAAACACTGCCGCCATGTCGACAGGGGAAGCTCAAACACGAGCCTATGCAAATACGGAACCTCCTGATTGCAAGTGTCATATTGCATTATGCAGATGAGCGGGGAATGAAAATAAAAAACAAGCCTGAGATTTGCACTAGTTATGCCTCATGAGTGCCACCGCACACGAGTCACAGCTGGAACCAGCGTGAATATAAACTAATTATTTGCAGGGGCTTTAGGTGGCAAACACAGAGTGAAGGTAAAGACTGGAATACATGCATCTGAGCTGAATCCTAATTTGCCAGTGCTAGAACACTAAATCAGTCAGCCATCATCTAGAGGATATGTTTAGAAGAGCTCACCTCTCTTCTACTCTTACCTTAATTCTATGGCTTACTTTCCATGTATGCCCACGTATGTCTGCTTTTAAACTCCATACTTGATAATCTCCTCACTGTTGGACTTGTTAAAACTTCCAAAGTCATGTGGCAAGGGTCCATGAGTATTCATGACTTCCTGCTGTGCCTTACCTGCATTTAATGGCCTAACTTAATTAAAGGTGTATATAAAGTTCATTTAATTTTAGCGTAGCTTACCACATTAAAATTCTGGCCACATATAAAAACCAACACATCATGAAATATATATCAGGTTAAAAAATCCCTCGCTGCTCATACCAGAAGTTCACACTATAGACTAGGATACTAAAGATAAATAGAGAGCTGTGAAAGCCACTTCCCTGCAACCAGAGTGAAAAATGCAGCCTTTTGAAGAACAGTTGTGCGTGGGTTGACATAACATCAGTCTTTTCTTGCTCATTTATTCTCTCAACCTAACACCGCTAACATCACATAAATAGCATTAACAGACGGAACAGAAAATTTGGCGTTATTATTCCGAGGGCAACAAATAGCAGTGTAGTGGGACAGAATGCTGCTCTAAGTGGTTTGCCCGACAGCATGAAGACAGAAAACACATTTGGTTAAGGACCTGAGATTGTACTCAAGCAGACGGCTGAAGTGGGGAAACAGAAAGGATAAAGATGCATGAAAAGCTCTCTTTATCTACAAGGGCCTATCAGTGTCAGACTGTTTGCAGAGAGATGTCTGGACCAAAAATGTATTCATAAGTTAACCGCAAGATTATACACAGCACATTGCCTACAGTTTGCACGATGAGTCACATGAGCTTGAGAGATATGAGGTCGTATGGAGCAGTGAAAAAAATCAGCAGTATGGGCCGGCAGTATTGAGGAAACACTGAGATATGTGGTTGTCTTTATGAAAATTCATCTTTTTGAGCCAAATTTGTGCGGCTCCTGACTGCTTACGAGATAATTTCCTTTCATCAATCAAAGCAACAGAACTGAACAAACAGCAAGCGCTGATGAACTCGCAGCTGGGCTTACAACAGAGAGAGAGAGATTGTGCGCGCCTTCCTGGATCCATATTTGTACGTGCTCGTCAGCTCCTCCGCTCATCTATATATGTGTGTGCATGTATTTATGTATGTGCTACGAGGCTCCCCCTACTCTACCTGTGGCGAGTCTCATCTTCACTCAGCTCCATTACCCGTGGCAAATGGAATACATTTGTGTCAGACGGCAGCATGGTGAGAGGGGGCCAGATAAATGTGTTTAATTAAAAACTGTCATATCTACACTTAGAGATGGGACAGTCAGAAGAGCATGAATAATCAATAACCACGCATACAGTGTATGGTGCATTCACATGTATTAGGCAAGACACACAAACTTCCTGTGAGACACACGCTCGCGCACACATACGGAGCGGGATGCGATGATGGAGCTGAGAGTGGAACGAAAACTGAACTACTTTGACTTGGGCTGTGTGTGGGAGTGTGGGAGTCTGTGCCTGCATCTGTGAGACAGCTCTGTGTTCCCACCAGCAACAAGTACCTTTAGCACTTTGCAAATGTATGTGGGGGGACTAAGCAGATGCACTGCACCTGGATCTGGATAGCAGCACTGCTCAGAGTGGGAGCAGAACGCAATCAAATATAGATACAGCTGGTCCACGGGATAATGCAAAAAGCTGAGTAAGAGCTGTCGCATTCTGCGGCCTTTCTAGGAAAAGGAAACACATCAGCGTGGTCATCATGGGCTGCAGAGTGACTCAATCTTGCACATTTTACTTGCAGATAGCGATGCACACTGCTCTCACTTGGCTTGATTTCTACCGATGAGTCATGAGAGCTTAGGCACTGCGCTACTTCTGGAAAAAAATTATGCAACAGTTTTAGCTGCATGCTTGTGTGTGCGCATGCACGCGCTTAAATGTGCGTGCGTGTGAGAGGGAGTCAGAGACAGACACAGAGACAACCAAACAAGCAGAGGACAAAGGGTCCAAGAGGTCGGGGATGAACTAAGCCTCGCCGGCTCTGTGTGTGCATGTGTGTTTGTGGAATTGCGTGTGTTCAAGTGTGTGTAATTTCAGCTGTGGCTGATTTGGAGGTATAATCTGGACAGAATCAGGCCTGAGCTGGGGACAGATGTCACAGCGGCCTCTCTATCTCCTCGCCCTGCACGCAGTGTCATGTGTAGCCACAAAGCAGAGATTCTCCCCAAGACATCCAGATCACACAAAAATACCACATGATTTACATCTACTGGACTGATTTAGAGTCCGTCATATACCGTTCTCACTGAACAGATATTTTTCTGAATCTACAGTTGACACACATTAAAATGGCCCTGTTCAGACTGCCAGCCAAAACCTTTATTTGCATATCCAGATTGTATCCAGATTAATTTTATGAAGTTTGGACAGCAGTAAAAACCCATGAAATGTGATTTGTGCAAATCTGATCCAAACCACATATGGAGGCAGTTTGAATTGGGATTTCAATCAGATTTCTACAGATGAGTCTCGGTCCGGCCACTCTGGCTGCTCAAATCTGATTTCAAAGTGTCTTTGAACATAATGCACAACGCTGATGTCAAATCCAGAGTGTTGAGCAGATCCATGCTGCTACTAGCAGAGCACTAAAGAGGACAACATGAGGAACAACAGTCCGTGGACGAATGCCAAAATAGTTTGCGGGGTGAAATTATGGACCTCCATTTCTCATGCTTCTGTCTTCATTATCTAATTTGAGAGACAAATCTAATTTGCCTGTGTGACCCCCTTCATTATTTTAAGCTCCAAATTGATTTTCTTTTCCTTGTGTGCCAAGTTACGCATAATCTTCACAGGAAGCCCTAAAAATCACAAAATTGAAATGTTCTTTTCGTGTTTTAACTTGTGAACCCTGCCTACTAAGATTGATCAAAGGCTTGAGCTCCACTAGCTGAGCAATCCTGTTTTACTTCGGGCATACAAGAGTTCATTAAGTGGAAAAATAAAACAAAAAATTGGCTGTGTTTATGTGTTGACATCTCATTTCCAGTGTGAACTTCAGGCAATGAAAGTGCTTGGAGAACAACTTTCTGGACACCAGTGAAATCTTCCTGTTAATCCATGCTGTCATTGAGTTTATGAGCCCAGCACTTAAAAGTAAACCATCATCAACTGCTGCTTTTATTGACAGACGTGACCCTGTGTGCTGTTCACTATGCTTCAGGGTTAAAATAAAACACACACCCACAATATGGATGACCATACTGGAAAGACTTTGAAAGTGACTTTTCCTGCAAGAGAATTCATTACAGTCGTTGCGGGATTGATGGGCCTGGCGTGGTCGTGACTGCCGGATCATAAAAACTCAGCGTCAGATATGAGGAGACGGAGAGCAGTAATGTGTGTCCATGGCCCTGGCCCTGCTCACAGCCAGATAGCACTCTGTGTGAGAGACGCCAACCGTCTCTACTCGAGAGATCAACACCACACGATAACAGAGGCTTTGAGAACGCGGCACCTCGCAGAGGGCTTGATAGCTCCACTCATCATCCTCTATTGCTTCTCCACCCTGCTCTCCGTCTCTCTCTGTTGCATACCAGCAACTCCATGTGCCCTCCAACTACGACCTATTTTTACCTTCGGGACATTCTTAGAATCGTCTAAATTGCAACCCCCAGAGGATGTGAGTCAGACATTGCATCAGAAAGCGTGCATCACCATGATTTCTGTATTGCTTACCCACAGCTGGTTTCCAGCAGACTGTCGCCGACCTGAAGGGAGGCCATGCCAAAGTCTGCTATCCTGATGTTGTTCTTTTCATCTAGCAACAGGTTCTCAGGCTTCAGATCCCTGTGGCTGAAAGAGATAGAAACATAAAACAGTTAATGAAACATGAAAGAGCTCATCATACGTTTTTTAACTAGTAAAACTGAGGAGAAACTAAAGGCATGCTGCAAACACCTGCAGATAAAGCCTGGATCAACATCCGCGCAGGCAACTGTGAACAGCACAGCATCTTAACCTGTTACCGAGCGCCCTTCTCCTCTCTGCTACACCTCTCTCTTTGATCCGTCCACGCTCAAACTAGGGGGCCCCCACCTCAGCGCCGGGCTGGTACGAGGTGTGACAGCCCCCTGCTGTGTCCTTTTCTCCTTCTGTTTCCCTCTCTCTTCGCCCTCCCATCCCCGTCCTCTCATCTCCCAGACAGCCACCAGCAAACAGGCCAACCAAAGGGCGTCAAGGGGAGCCGGCCGCAGAGGTGGTGTTCATTAGCTGCCATTCATTACAGCTAAGCACAGCGAGGGGGATAATATCCAACGGACATCATCTCCCTCCTCAAGAAAGACCATTGAGAGGAAGATCTTCGTTAGATCACGTATGCCGTTGCTGTGTCGGAGGTTAAAATCTCAATTTTGATGAGTGACTGTTCAAAAGCAGAGTAGCATTAGGGCTTTATTGTGCATTTAACATCTCTTCCACGGTCGAGGGTTGTCTCACATCATACCGTGCTTTTCTTGTGATGTCTACCGGGGCTGAGGGAAGCACCACGTGGGCATGCACTGATAGCTATCCATCTTTCTTCTCTGCATTCTTACATACTGTATGTGTATACTTGGTTACCTCCCTCTACGCTTTTTGTAATCAGTAGGAGAGTTACAGAGCCACAGGGCTGTCAGGATGTCATCAACTAGACTTTCATCTTCTCTTTAGACTAATGATAGAAAGGGGAGAGGAGCAATAGCTGGATGCATCCGCCTTTGAAGAGTGCCTCATCACAATGGACGTTTAACCTTAGATGACATCAGCTGCTGTACAACTCATTTTCCTGTCCTGAGGGATTAGCTGTCAGCTGGTTTGTTATCACGCTGGCAGTCTCTGTGATCCCTGCTATAATTGAAATAAAACACAGATAGCATCTAAAACAGTTCTCCCCAGGCTAAAACCTTTATCAATTCACACAACCAACCATCATCTGGCAGTGATGTCAGGCTCCTGACATCACAGAGTTAGTCTTTTAACTAATACCGTCAAAGCACATGAGGAAGGAACAAATATTTGCCAAACTGCTCAGGCGCTACCAGTGTGAGGTTGTACCGGACGTCTCCCTCTGTTCCTGCTGGCGTCTTCGTCAACATGCCTGATTAAATAATGCTTTAAAAAACAATGTCTCTCCCGGCATCTAAATGTTTCAGACAGCTGAAAGTTACAAATCACTTGTGACTGGAGCTTAAACATGACAGAAGGTCAAATCGTAACTTTGTAGACACAGGGACCAGAAGACAGGCCCAGAAGGATGGTAAATAATTTGGTGTGACATCAGTGACAAAAGACACAGCAATGACAGCGCTGATTGTGCCAAGTGTGCACAACAGTGTGCAAACATCATTTACTATTGAAATCATAGTGGAGATAACCCGCCGATCCTAACGGACCCCAATCATAGAACCACAGCCTCAACAGAGTCATAAATATCTAAGTACTCTCCAACTGTCAGCCTCAGATGCAAAAATGCACACTAAATCATTACCTAAAAGGCCCATAAACGTGGCATTAACATTGTGTAATCACAAGCCTATCATATGTAAAACACAAAGAGCCGAACCGCAAGAGACCGATCTGCGAAAGAAAGAAGGCAACAGCGTATTTATCCACCGACAGCATCAAGGGGACAAATTGCATCTGGATGCTTTATTGGTTGTCAAGACCTTGGTATCCATAATAGGACATTAAACTGCCTCTCTGACACATTAGGCTGCACTTTGCAACTGTAATCTTGCTCACACAGCAGGCCTTGCAGCAGGGATATCTCGGCGTTGCACTCATATGTCATACAGGAGGAGACGCTGTTAAACGAAATCCAACAGCTGCAATGAGCTTGAATGTAACTGCAGTTTATCTTCTTGGAGATTCGGAAGCTGTGCGCTGCTAGCGAGTCTTGGAGGGATGCTTTTTTTAATAAAATACTCCAAATGTCATGAGTGCATATTGTTTTTTGCGCAGGTGTTTTGTGCAGGAAATGAAAGAATATGAATGTTAGTGCGATGCTCGACCCATATAAAACACAGCACAGAAAAATAAAAACACGAAAGGAAGGCTACAATTTAAGGACGACTACTGTCATTCATTATAGCTGCATATATATTTTAACGCATGCTACCTTGATCTGTGGCACAGGCCTCACACTACGCTCCTACGATGCCGTTCAGTGTAATTTACAGGGCACATATGCGTGTCTACATGCTGTCTGAGCAAGGTTTACACCCCACTGGGGTTGTTAGACATGATTCTTGCAATTTAACACCAAGCTCTTAATTGCCTGTGATCATTTGCACGTATCATGCTGATATGTTCTGTTTTACACAAGGTTGGGTCTGTCCTCTTGGGGCTCACATCCCTATAATATCCCAGACGTGTTTATGATGATGAGCGGTTTTCTAACTAAATTCTCCAGCCTGAGGAAAATATACTTTCCCCATTGTGACACATTTGACATTCACTATGTTTAATATTGCCTCTCGTTAAGCCTGCATTAGCGCACCGAGATATGTGGCGCTAATTAGCTAAACCGGAACACTTGAAACTAACACTAATGGCTCAAATGCATCTTTCTGACATATTAACATGCCTGGGAAGTAGCACACCTGTTTTTGCATTTTCATGAAGTGCTAAAGCTATCCCTGCACCATCATTGTTAGCTGAAGTGGGGTTTTTAACCATCGTTGGGAGCTGATATGCACCCATTTAGCCTCCAGCACACCTCTGTGTCATTCTCCTCTTTCTATCTTGGCTTTTTTTCCCTCTCAAACTTTTTTTAGGCTTCTGTTGACCCAATTAGAGCGAGAGACCAAGCACATTCACTGAAAATGCTTTAGGCTAATATTCTATCGCATTAGCAAAGGGGGACAACATTCTGGCTGCTGACTTCGATGTGCTAGGCACAATCGTTCATTAGCCGGTGGGGTTAATTGTGTATTAAGAGCAATGAGGGATGAGAAAGATAAAGTTGTCTTTTTTTCCCCCGTGTTTTGCTGTCTAATGAAATTGCTCTGTTTTTTGTATTTTTGCTTCAAGCAAGTGATTGGTGAATGTGTTTTGCTGTTTTATTATTCTGTAGTTAATGTCTTTTTCTGCTTCAGAGTAAGTGATACCACATTTGGAACACAATTTGTTCAAGGTACAGATATGAAGCAAGGCCAGGTGTGTGCAAGGTATTCACATGATGTCACAAGCACTAATAAATTAAAGGTTTATATTCAGCCCTTCAGAAAACTTGTAATCTAATTTTATTACAATAATAACAAGGAAAGGACGAATAAGTACAATTGCCTGAACATGTCTTTCACCACACTACCCTAACAATATTAACGTTTTGGCCACAGCATAACAGCTACACGAAGAAATTACTTCAAGACAATTCAGTAACAGATGATTAAACAGCAAAAAACTAACGGCTGTAATGTATCTAATAGCTGATGCTACTTTGCAGCCCCCTGCTCACAAGAACATACACCATTTTATTGAATTGTCTCATATACTGTAAAATTTCACTTAATAGCCCCGGGCTATTACTTGCTTAAATCACTGAATTCAAATAGGCTTATATTTGGGATCGCCTTTAATTAAATATTATAATTAAAATGAAATATTTTTCCACTTAAATATTACTTTGAAATTAGGCTTTGAATAACATATCTATTGTGAATCATTCATTTGATCTAGCTCTGACAGATGGGAAATCAGAGAGAGAGTGAGTTTTGACACTTGTTTTACAGCACCCAGCATACCGACACAACACCACTTTATCTTGTTAAAACAATATTCATGGGGCGTCAGTGGCTTAGTGGTAGAGCAGGCACCCCATGTACAAGGCTGTTGCTGCAGCGGCCCGGGTTCGACTCCAGCCTGTGGCCCTTTGCTGCATGTCACTCCCTCTCTCTCTCCCCCCTTCACACTCATCCGTCCTATCGATTAAAGGCTTAAAAATGCCCCCCAAAAAATCATAACTTGGATTGATTTTTATGAAAAACCCCTTTGATTCTTTTGATCAGTGGACCCTGGCAGACTAAATGAATATGACTAACTAACTGGTTAAACCTGGAATGGACACATATTCTGACTTTCTGACAGCTTCAGTGGAAGGGAGTCACCGCATGTTTTTTGGTCATGCTGGTAAATCTGAATGAATTACTGCATTCTTTTGTGCACATGGTTTCAGTAAAATGAACTGAACAATTTAATTGTGGAGAATCTAACAGAGTTAACAATGTAGCATCTGCAGGTTGACAAAAGTTTAATTACTTTTTAAGCATTTATTTCTGTATGCAAGTCTAAACAGCTATCTAACCTTAGCTCAGGTCTGTAACCAACAACCGGGTTTTATACATCCAAAGAACTTCTATAAAATGAGCTGCTTGGCAACAAGATCAGGCGTTTAATGGAGACAGGCCTTTATTTGTCAAAATGGCAGCCAGACCCAGCTAGTAAAAGGGACTAGGCTTTTAATTGAAGTGTTTTCATTGTTTCTAGTGACAAATATTACAGAATCATATTTAGTGGGCTTCCAATGCTACCGAAAAGCAACAATAAGAAACAATCAATGGTCACTGAACAAGTGTCAACTAACATTGTCCATTGCCAAAGCTCTGAATATTGTCCGAATGTCTTATGTCAACTTTTAACAACATGCTATGTCAACAGTGATTTCCTTTAAAGGAACAGTGCGTGGGATTTAGTGGCATCTAGTGGTGAAGACTGCAGATTGCAACCAACTGAAACGTGCAAACTCACAGTTTAAATTCCTTTATTGTTCATTGCTAAGAAGGTTTTTACCTGAATGGCCCTATCTAGACCTAGAG